ATCATGACTTATAGAACCCACTTGGTTCATTGAGCCTTTTATTGGATTGAACAAGTTGTTGATAGGGGGTATATTGGAGAGCCTGCTGTTTGGTTATGAAACCTGTTGGTTTATTATGGAACCTGTTGGTTTATTATGGAACCTGTTGGTTAGTTATAGTACATATTGGTTGGTTATAGAACCTGTTGGTTGGGTATGGAACCTGTTGGTTGATTATAGAACCTGTTGGTTGGTTATGGAATCTGTTGGTTGGTTATGGAACCTGTTGGTTGATTATGGAACCTGTTGGTTGGGTATGGAACCTGTTGGTCAATTATGGAACCTGTTGGTTGATTATGGAACCTGTTGGTTGATTATGAACCTGTTGGTTGGTTATGGAATCTGTTGGCTGGGTATGGAACCTGTTGGTTGATTATGAAACCTGTTGGTTGGTTATGGAACCTGTTGGTTAGGTATGGAACCAGTTGGTGCGTGAAGGAACCAGTTGGTGCACTATGGAACCAGTTGGTGGATGATCAAATCCGTTGGTGCAGTATTATTATACCTCAGTACATATTATTTCTAACCATTTTCAGTTTGTAACATGTGTATGTTGTGTCCATCTTTGAAATCTGTTATGAATTTAGTTTATCCTGTGGCTCCAGTGCAAGTGTAATCAGTACAAAACACTAATGTTTACTGCCCTTCTTTATCTATTCCTCTTCTTTGTAAGTGCCTGTTGGAGACTGTGGTAACTAAATAGATAATAAAGTCATCAATCTCAGGCATAATGGCCTATCACCATGATCATCTTGAATCTTTAAACGCTGTCCTCCATCGCTGGAGTGTGTAGTAACGTATACATGTAATTGATGCATTTATCGACTGTCTCACAACAAATATTTAGGTAGCAATTAACATGGTGATAAAGCAATTTTCTGACAGCCTTGTGGCGGGATGGTATGAAGTGTAAATGGTTGTCGTGGCCGCAGCACCAGATGGGTTCCATACACAGCCAGCAGCAACAAATCTAGCCTTGATCCAAGTCTGTACTCCGTGATATGGCCATGGAGGTGTTGTGATTCTCTTCTTATAACATGCATGTCTTGATAAGGTGACAGATGTCATATATCTCGGAATGAGAATATTTTACGGGGACCACTTAGTCTTTCTATTTAAATAATCTTGGAAATATTATTGAATCATTTCCTTGGAAACTTAAGTCTGCTACAGACCCACCTTGGCTTAGAACATAATCAGATCTCTGGGCAAAGGAGATCCATCCTATATTTGAACATCTGTACTAGAGGCCTATATCAGCTCTCTTCTCTGGTCAGGAGATCCTTCACACTTCTGTAGTGGAAACCAATATTGGCTTTCTGGTCAGGAGATCCTTCACACTGCTGTTGGAGAGACCAATATTAGCTCTCTGGTCAAGGAAATCCTTTGCACTTCTGTAGTGGAAACCAATATTGGCTTTCTGGTCAGGAGATCCTTCACACTGCTGTTGGAAAGACCAATATTAGCTCTCTGGTCAAGGAGATCATTCACACTGTAGACAATTGCATAGTCCATTAACCATGTTATATTTGCATCTGTCCAACCCAGACTGTATGTAGTGTTATAGTCCATTAACCATGTTATATTTGCATCTGTCCAACCCACACTGTATGTAGTGTTATAGTCTATTAACCATGTTATATTTGCATCTGTCCAACCCACACTGTATGTAGTGTTATAATCCTAAATGAAGCAAGTCTTCATTGTCCACAGCGTTTACTCTCCTCTGGCTCCTTTTCAGTTTTAATGTATATTTTATATTTCAATCAAAATTATATTTTTGGCGAGACTAAGCATCCGTCTATGTGTCGTGCTGCAGGGGGTGATGGGGAGGCCGACATAGATCTCCTTCCTTAGATACGATCCGATTTGTTGAAGAGTTAGTTGCAGGTAGCTGCTGAGTTGAGTTGGTCCCTGAATGTTAAACAGTGTGGGTTTATCTGTGATTTATCAGAGGATTCCACTTTACTGTCATAAAAAGTACCGATGATGCTAATAAGTACATTTATTATGTGTTTAGGAGGCTGTTTCTGATTCTGGGCAGATGTTAATGTTATGTAAGACATTCTCAGGTTGTGGTTTATGGTAGACCTATAACAAGTGTATGTACTGCTCCCTTTGGAGTATGCAGCTTCTTGGAGCTATCATGTGGTGCTGCTCACATCAAGATGTCAGAATTAAGAACTCTCACTTAAAGCTCCAGATTAGAGAAATTTGGAAACACCCTCGGGATCTAACTCACAAAGCAATCATGCATTGAAAGGTGCAAGCGTGAAGAGTTTATCAAGACAGCGATTTGTGTTGGAGGTTTTGGTAACCCAATATTGAGTAGATGTCATATAGTGTGCAGTATCTCTTTCAGCATCTATGGAGATCAAAGAGTATATCTCCAGTACAACTTGTGGTGCTCATTCTCAGTGTTCCCTGCAGTGAACTTGTTGGAATAGCGATAGTACAGGAGGGCTGAAACACTTCACTGGTAAACGTGACAGTCAGCAATATTCCTGCTATATGATGGCGGTCTGTAAATAAGGAATCTGGACCATCCTTAGTGATCTTTAGTGTGAATCTATGCAGTTGGGATACGATGACCTACATCAACTAATGTCAGTATACCTGACAATCCCTCCTGGATTCAATGACGAATTTTTAAGAATTCTGCGTCAAATTTAAGTGAATTCTGCATCCCATTTTTCAAAATCCTGCAAAACATTCTGCAGTTAAAAACACACAAAATAATGCAAAGTCTTCCAAAAGATTAATTTTGTGAACATAATTGCAGTGTCAACTTCATATAATATTATTGTAAGGTGCTGAAGAAAATATTACCTTATGAATAAATCATTTTTATTCATGAATATTTTGAAAATATCGTCATAACAAATGTCTCAGTTCGTTTTTGTGTAACCAATCATACTTCTGACATTTACCCCAACTTTTTGTTTCGGTTGATAGTCATGACCAATCTTGATTCAACTTTCAAAATATGTAAATTCCGTGGCAGAAAAATGGCAAATTCCGCCTACCAGACGTTTTTCTGCATCAAAAGGTAATTTCCACAATTTATTCTGCAGCCGCAGAATCCAGGAGGGACTGACCTGACCACTAGATCTTGTTAGTTGCCACTTTCAACAATCACTGGTTGATGAAGATGATTTCCAGCTCAGATTCCCTCTCACATACTTGCTTATGTTCACACACATGCATACATTTGCACACCCACTTTCACTTTCTCGCTCTCGCACACACACACTCTCTCACACACTCACTTTCTCGCTCTCACACACACACTCTCACACACACATGCACACACTCTCACACACTCACACACACTCTCTCACACATGCACACTCTCTCTCACTTTCTCGCTCTCGCACACACACATGCACATTCTCTCTCACTCACACATGCACACACACACACTCACTCTCACTTTCTTGCTCTCGCACACACACTATCTCTCTCTCTCACACTCACACACACACATCCACACACACATACATCAGTATAGAAGTGCAGTGTAATGCTATAGAGAACTATGTAAGTGCCACATGTTAAGCTCCAGTTCAGCACACTCTACATGACACATCTCCTCACGTTGGACAACATGATCCAGCTGTACAGCATGCTGTTCTTCAAGCACACTTGTGTTGTTGAGGTGCAGTTACAGAGAACTACTGTTTTGTTAATGAGTACAGATGTATTTGATTAGGAGTCCACGATTCTTAAATAAGAGATAATTGCCTTTTGTTGCTCATGGTTAATAAACCATTAACAGACATTGAATCAAATTATTCAGATGAAGTTATTTTATTGTTTTAAATTATTCTGTTCATTTAGCCACAGTTGATTAATGTTTATGGTTTCAATGGAGGATCTGACGTTATCAGTTGTTAAATGTTGTGCGAGATGATAATTATTGTTATGATATATCATACATCACAGTTGTATTTACGTCTTTGGATATATGCCATACATTTCAAGCCTGTGAAGTGGGACCCTTCATCATATATTCCAATCACATTTTCAGTGCGGCTGCATGATTAATTTCACTTTTTTAATCAGTACAAAATTGGATATATATCTACATAAACAGGGGCGATGGGGTAGCCTAATGGTTAAAGCGTTGGCTCGTCACGCCGAAGACCCGGGTTCGAATCCCCACTTGGGTACAATGTGTGACGTCCATTTCTGGTGTCCCCCCGTGATGTTTCTGGAATATTGCTAAAAGCGGCGTAAAACCAAACTCAGTCAGTCAGTCTACATCAACACATTCTTGTAGTGTGTAATGAGTATATGCTGAATCGAGACATATTTATAACACACTAGTATTGACTCCTACATAGTCCACTGCAGAGTTGAATGTAGTCCTAATTTGTAGTTTGATATTTCTGTTACTTCAGGAGCTGAATTCAGATTCAGTCAGTTCAGTAGGGAGCTCCTGTGCTTGTGTCTAGTATATATTACAGGTGGAGCTGCGTTGCTGTCACCGTTTCTGGTTTTGATTCTGCTACACACGGAATACCTTCTGTCCAAAACACAATGTTTCACAGATATTTCTTAAGTTCCGTAGAACTAAAGAATGTTTTGTATGGAATGGCTTGGAAGTGCTGAATGTGTGTTCTGAACCTCTGCCATGTTAACTAATTAAGTAAGCAAATAATGAGCAAAACCGGTTGAATGTAAGAAAATAGTTCCTACAAATGCCAAACTTATTTCCTGTGTGTCTCTCCACTCATCTCTCCAACTAACAGCATCATTGTTGATGCTTGATTATTGGAAAGAAGTAAGGCTTTCTCCCCTTGCCCATATGGAAGGGAACTTTGCGATGGAGGACTATTTTTCCGAAGTTATATTTGAAGACTGTTTAAGTACAGGTTATTGGCAATGATGTATTGAGGTAGTATTCTTTGAGCTATTTGATATTGGTTGACATTGCAGACATTGTGGTTCTGTTTCAGGTTTGTGACTATGAAAATAGCATATCCAGACATCACTTGACATCTGCTGAGCGCACCAACTGACCAACCACCATGAGGGCAAATCTTCTCCACTTCGGACTAACACTCATAGTGTTCTATACGCTAGCGGAAGCCAACAACCGCTTTCACGAAAAACACAAAGCATATTACAAGACACCAAGACATCGGCGAAATAAAAGTGAAAAGCCTAATATAGTTATTGTGCTTACAGACGATCAGGACCTGTTATTAGGATCGCTAGATGTCATGCCGAAATTAAATCGGCTGATACGAAATCAAGGTGCATTTTTTAATTATTCATTTTCATCGACACCCATGTGTTGCCCGTCACGGAGTTCTATATTGACAGGCATGTACACACACAATCACAATGTGTACACAAACAATGACAACTGTTCCTCTATACAGTGGCAACAGACCCATGAAACAAGGACCTTTGCTACCTACCTTAATGACAGAGGCTATCGAACAGGTGAGCTGTCTTCTCATGTTTATGTAAAAATAAAATGGAGAACTTGTGCTCTTACTTCATCACGATAAAAACGTGTCCCCTTCCCCTTTCTTCTTGTGACAAGATATATTTGCTGTTAAAGTGCTGGTGCAGGTTTTCTATCTGTCATAGAACAAAGGTTAATACTCACTATCCACAAGCCATGTAACTGTACTCTACAGACTGCAGAAACACCGCCATTTATATTGGAAGCAGATTGCACTATTTTCATCTAATCTGTATGGTTCATGCAGTCAAGTGTTTGTTAATGGAAGCCTGTCCTGCTGGATTGTACAAGTGTCAGAGTTTAAGGCCTCTATAAACTGTATACTTTATGGTACTTTATCGGCATATTGATATTGTCACCTGACCAAAGTTGGGATCCCCCTTTGGACATTTTGCATGTGCTCTAAGTAATCCATGTTCAAGTACGGGAGATCTCCCACAGTTCCAGCTGTTGCCAATCAGGGGACACCCTATCCTTACCGAATGGCTTTCATTCTGTTGCAGACTCCTTGACTTCCTTTTTCCGTCAGTAGCCAGTTGTAAATTGGGGGATGTAGACTTTGTACACTTATTGAGATGTTGCCATGGTAAACTAGACTGTCGTGACATACATTCAGGTCACTCTGTGATTAATTTGACAGTTGCCATTTGTCATAGCATGTCAATTGTAATTTGATCAAAATATTGGGACATTATTTTTTTGTTTGTTTTTTTGTGCTGCACAATATTCCTGCTATTTGAAGTGTTCTGTAAATAACTGAGTCTGGACCAGTCAATCCTTTGACTGAGCATCAATCTACACAGTTGGGAGTTGATGACATCAACTGCATCAACTTTTGCCTAACCACCATCCATTTAGATATCTCTCGTTCTAAGCTGAGGTTACTGGTGACCTCTATTCTTATTCAGGTTAAGGGGGCGGTGGGGTAGCCTAGTGGTTAAAGCGGTCGCTCGTCACGCTGAAGACCGGGGTTCGATTCCCCACATGGGTACAATATGTGAAGCCCATTTCTGTGTCCCTGCCGTGATATTGCTGGAATATTGATAAAAGCGGCATTAAACCATACTCACTCACTTAGCAGGTTAAGGAATCTAGACACTGCTGGGTGGATTACGGAATGGCCCATTGTTCGCCATTCTTGCCAAAGGGTTCAGTTCTCAATTTGTGAAACTTCTGGCCTCTGTCACCACGATATTGCTAGAATACTGCTGAAAATTGTGTCAACGCGTGTTATCAAGCCTACTTTAGGGCGTGCACATATCCCAGTAATTGAGGTGTTGCTTCAGTAGTGCATCCAGGAAGAATGTGCTAGTTACAGTGTAGATACTGCTGTCAACCACTGGATTTCCAGGCCAAGACTTTGGTATTTACCACCTGCTATAATGTGGATAGGCTATTGATGACTAGAGAGTAATGCAGCATTTACTTACATGTTCTTATTCTCCTGCAGGACCTTTTATTTCCGGATAAGACTGCCCTGAGAATTCTTGGACAATATTGGGGTTTTTTCAACCTATTTTTTGTTTATAAAGTAATAAAAAAAGTTAAAGACCACTTGTTTCTTTCATAACAGATTATCTTGAGTTGTTTTTAAAGAATCGGAATCTATTCAGACTCTTGGAGTCCTATTGTTTGGAAAGGCAAGTAGGTAGCAGTGTTGGGAATTGGTTAAAATCTCATAATTGATGATTGGTTCATTACAACCGATCAATCATCGAAAATAATTGGTTAGCGTCATTTATGAAATTTGTTAATGCACATAAAATTAAAGAAAAAAACATGTTCTTTTGGGTCTTTTTGGCAAAATTTCACATCTTTAAACGATGACTAGTATGTTAGGAACATAAATTTCTTGGAGCCTTTAAGATAAATTCAATCATGACTTGGAACGAGCTTGTAGTGCTTACAAAATGTAACAGACAAAACCAACCATGTGAAAAATATTGTTAATGAAAACAAGTGTTCCAAAATTGGTTGTGTTCGATTATGAGAAATTATGATCGATTGCTTGGTCGTTTAGTCACTACGACCAATCTTTGATTATTTCAGTTAATCGGAATACCACTGGTAGGTAGTGGGATATTAACGGTCCAGCTTGTCACAGTTTATGGTATATGATTCCCCATACCGTGTGTTCCTGGCTATGATATGCTGCTAGAATGTTGCTGGAATTTTAAAAGAAGATTAACAAATTGCCTTTTAGTTAACAGGACTTTTTAAAAATGCAATGTTCAGATGTTATTAGATTTGCATTGATTTTTATGTCGTTTTGATTGATTGTCATTGAACCCCATTTATTTTTTCACTCTTTAAGAAGCTGATGATGATTTCAGAGTAGATTTATAAAAGATTGGAAAATGCTTTTAATTTGATTAACAATTTTTTCTTCATGCAATTCTTCTTGTTATCTGATTTACATTTTGGCATTAGATGCAGCAAACTGGAGTGCATGTTATTTGACCAAACCAATATACAAGATCAGTAATGATCAAGTAGAAGTTTATTCAATCTGCGTTGCTCTCCCATAGAATGCTATAACAGGTCTCATCTTGGAATCCACACAAAGTGTCAGTTGGCTGGTAAATTGGGAAAAATCACTATTTTGTTTGAAATAGTGATATCTTTTTAATTCTGGTTTTCTTACATTCACAGTCTTTCTGAGACTGTATCCTCACTTTACCTTTGATGCATTAATGAAAATTGTGGCTTCAAATCCTCTTCCTCTATGGTCTTGCGGTGAAATACAAGGCATCCTACAAAGCTATGTAATTAGTTATGGGGGCGGTGGGGTAGCCTAGTGGTTAAAGTGTTGGCTTGTCACGCCAAAGACCCGGGTTCAAATCCCCACATGGGCACAATGTGTGAAGCCCATTTCTGGTGTCCCCCGCCGTGATGTTGCTGGAATATTGCTAAAAGCGGCGTAAAACCAAACTCAGTCCGTCAGTGTAATTAGTTATGCCTCGATTCAAATGAATTTGGAATTTGTTTAATTCCAATGTGTGAATTTGTACTGACATTAGCTGTAGATTTGAGCCCTTATGTTGTCCTGATGATGTCTAGATCAATTTTGTATTATCTTTTGGTTAGACGGTTAATGTGTGATTTCTGTTTCAGGGTATTTTGGAAAGTATTTAAATGAGTACAATGGAACATACATCCCGCCAGGCTGGAGAGAATGGGTTGGACTCATTCGGAATTCCCGCTACTACAATTATTCAATCAACTTCAATGGGAGGAAAATCAAACATCAAGATAATTATTACAGTGACTATCTAACAGATCTCATAGCTAATGACAGTGTAACATTCCTTAAACAAAGCAAGCAGTATTACCCAACCAGGTGAGTGGTTCAGCCAGTATCTTACAGTCCTCAACAACTTGTTTGTACCAACAAATGTGGAAACAACCCTTGTTTAGGTAAAACATAAATTCCAGGGCCTAGATTTTCGAAGCTCTCTTAGCCCCAAGATAGTTGCAAGTTAATGTTAATGTATGGCACTTACGACTATCTTAGCGCTAAGAGAGCTTCGAAAATCTAGGCCAGGACTTTTGCACTGATGTAGTTTACACATAAGTTTTACATGTACTGACAAATGTGTAACAAATGTTGTTTACATCAAACATAATTTTCAGTACATTTGCAGTTATATATTTTACTAGTCGTTTTGTTCTTGTTATCTTTATTTGCACAAGAATTAAGGCCTAATTTAGGAGAATTTTGCTGGTAATCAGCTGGCTGTCAGTACGTCTCCACAGCACATCATCTGTGATCTAAGAGAAAAAGTATTAAAGTTCTCGCACATTGAGTGCAGTTTACCAACTGTGCAAACATAAAGCTGTATGTCTGCACTAAATATTCAGGTCACCTAATTGTCTGATGGTGAAGTGGGGCAGTGGGTTACTGGTTCAGTATGCAGCAGCTGTGGGTTCAGATCCCCATGTTGTGGAATGTGTGAGACCCATGGTGACTTCTCCATGACAACTTTGTCCTGTATGTCGCTGAAAGTGGCATTGAACCATGTAACATCTTTGTATACAAGGGGGTGGGTCTGTGAAATGAAAAAGACTTGATTCTCTCTGTATTTTTATTTGTTATGGATACCAAGTTTATACATTTCTGAAATTTGGAGTCCATTAAGAAAGTAATTACAAACTTAACATCTGAGACAACATTCACATATACACATATGCAGAGGAACACACATCCAGGGGGCACACACAATAAGCACACAATGGTTGCTTTAAGCACACACACACACAAAGGGTCACACACAAGACACATACATACTCCACGAGACCACATAGACACAATGGTTGCCTTAAGCACACAAGACACATTCACACAATAGTTGCCTTAAGCACCTGCAAGACACTTACACCCAATAGTTATCTTAAGCTCATCCAAGACACTTACACCCAATAGTTGCCTTAAGCACACAGGACATACACCCAATAGTTGCCTTAAGCACACACAAGACACTTACACCCAATAGTTGCCTTAAGCACATGCAAGACACACCCAATAGTTGCCTTAAGCACATGCAAGACACTTACACCCAATAGTTGCCTTAAGCACACAAGACACTTACACCCAATAGTTGCCTTAATCACACAAGACACATCCAATAGTTGCCTTAAGCACATGCTAGACACACATCCAATAGTTGCCTTAAGCACACAAGCCACTCAATATGCAAGACACAGGACACACCCAATAGTTGCCTTAAGCACACACAAGACACTTACACCCAATAGTTGCCTTAAGCACACACAAGACACTTACACCCAATAGTTGCCTTAAGCACACACAGGACACTTACACCCAATAGTTGCCTTAAGCACACAAGACACATTCACACAATAGTTGCCTTAAGCACATGCAAGACACTTACACCCAATAGTTGCCTTAAGCACATGCAAGACACTTACACCCAATAGTTGCCTTAAGCACACACAAGACACTTACACCCAATAGTTGCCTTAAGCACACACAGGACACTTACACCCAATAGTTGCCTTAAGCACACAAGACACATTCACACAATAGTTGCCTTAAGCACGTGCAAGACACTTACACCCAACAGTTGCCTCAAGCACACACAAGACACTTACACCCAATGGTTGCCTGAAGCACACAAGACACATTCACACAATAGTTGCCTTAAGCACATGCAAGACACTTACACCCAATAGTTGCTGTAAGCTCATGCAAGACACACCCAATAGTTGCCTTAAGCACATGCAAGACACTTACACCCAATAGTTGCCTTAAGCACACACAAGACACTTACACACAATAGTTGCCTTAAGCACACACAAGACCACATAGACATGATGGTTGCGTTAAGCAACATCCCTCTGTATCTACAGTCAATAACACAGTAATTCCAGCACATGTAGAACCAATGTCCCAGATAGACACAAGTACTGAAGAGTCGTCTCCCATCCTGGCCGCAGTACAGATGTATCCAGTGTTGTTGATGTTGCAGGCCAGTGCTGATGGTGTTGAGTGTGCCAGCCCCTCATGGACCTGAAGATGCTGCCCCACAGTACCAACACATGTTCAAAAACAACACTGACCACAGGTACCACAGTTGTACAGTCGATGCTCATACTGTTGATCACTGGACTGTCTGGTCCAGACTCGATTATTTACAGACTGCTGCCATATAGTTGGAACATTGCTGAGTGCGGCGTATAACTAAACTCACTCACTCAATAAACTTCCTACAATGTGTTTCTTGTTCTGGCTCAATATGTTATGTACAAGCACCTGATAGAAAAAATCCCAGTTGTTCCTTGTAATTGGTTACATATTGATAACATTTTGTTAATAGGGAGTACTTATTGTGTGGATTATGGTGCTTCCGTTATTAAGCTTAGTGAGGACATCAGACTATTTCTGGGGAAGGTAAACCATGAAATTAGTGCAACCCTTAATGAATGCAAGAAGCTGCATGCCAGCTTAACTAGGGGTAGGTTAGTCCAATGGTGCAAGTATCTACAGAATCCTGGATTAAGTTCTCTACAGGGGCGGTGGGGTAGCCTAGTGGTTAAAGCGTTCGCTCGCCACGCCGAAGACCCGGGTTCGATTCCCCACATGGGCACAGTGTGTGAAGCCCATTTCTGGTATCCCCCGCCGTGGTATTGCTGGAATATTGCTAAAAGCGGCGTAAAACTAAATTCAGTCAGTCAGTCTAATGTCTCAAGTTGTGATGCTACTGAAATATTGCCAAAAGTGGCTTGAAAGCATGATTCATCTTAAGAGGTGACTTGAGCTGAGAAGGCCTGGACTACATTATGAAATGTGTTGTTTCACTATGTACGGGGGGTTAGTGGTCGTTATTCATCTTCCACTCATGTCTCAGGAACAGATGTATTAATTACAGAATTCCATGTCGAGATTACAATATGTTTTGAAATCTGCCATTCAGAAAATATATGTATCAGAATGAAAACTGCCATGGCAGGAGTAGTTTTAGTATACTAGTCTGTTTTGTCCAAAAGACTGGAAATGTCATTATTTACTATGCAGAAAGAGCTCAGAATGTATGGCTATCTTAGTTTAAGATGGTGCACTCAAACTTGGATATGATATATTTATTTACTGGGAGAATAGCTGCAGGCTTTAGCTGATAAGGTAATCACACACAGACATGTATAACGCTATCTGTCAGTACAAGATGCTGAGCGTATGGCCAATTTAATATGGCTCTTGTTTTGTACAGGACACCAAGCTGGAACTTCGCTCCAAACCCAGACAAACAATGGCTGCTGCAGTACACAGCGTCCATGACGCCGCTGTATCGCCACTTCACCGACATGCTGCAGAGGAAGCGGCTACAGACGTTGCAGTCAGTGGACGACCTTGTGGAGAAGGTGAGGAGAGCAGCAGTTGGCAAACGTTGGGTTACAAAATATCAGTTTGGGAACATTGATTTTCAAAGATGACTTACAAACATCAGTTGACAGTAATACATTTTCAAAGATGACTTACAAACATCAGTTCACAGTAATACATTTTCAAAGATGACTTACAAACATCAGTTGACAGTAATACATTTTCAAATATGACTTACAAACATCAGTTGACAGTAATACATTTTCAAAGATGACTTACAAACATCAGTTCACAGTAATACATTTTCAAAGGTCAGTTTGTGGGGATCCATTTACAAACAAAATGAAAAAGAACCCTGAACAAGAACATACCCTGTCTGTCCCTGACTGTATTATATATCCAAGTGTCTTGGATTGATATCTTTCTTTTGACAAATGATGTCAGTCTGTCCGTCAGCCGCTTCCAACTGAATCTCTGTTATTTGATTGGATGGTTATTTTTAACATTATATGAATCAATTAAAACCATAGTAGTGTTTTGGATTTTCCATGTAATGGCGATATTCTGACTAATCAAGCATGGTCAAGTGTCCTGGATATGTCCACCATGATAACTCTGTTACAACATTAATAGAAGTGGAGTAAAATCATTCTGACCAAATCAGGTCTCTGCTTCTTTTGGCTGGTGATTAAGAACTGATCTTTTAACCTCTCCACCTCATTTCTACATCAGCTTTTGTTTTAATCCTCTCTTAATAAGAACTAATGAAAATTCTTGTCATTGTTTTGCTTTGTGGTTGGAGGTTTGAAGGTTTTCATTGTCGTCATCAGGTTTACAATGAGCTGAAGATGCTCGGAGAGCTTGACAACACCTACATCATCTACACCTCCGACCACGGCTACCATCTGGGACAGTACGGCCTTGTCAAGGGCAAGGCCATGCCATACGACTTCGACATCCGGATCCCCATGCTGATGAGGGGACCTGGTATCATGCCGAGGACAGTGTATGTTGTAGTCCACTGAGACACTCTCTAATCAGAATTCCACACTGTTAGGACTTTGGCACAATGGTTAGGAGCCTAAAACGATGCTTTTTTCCCCCAAAATTCTGATTTAAATCATTTTGCTTTATGAATTATTCACTTGCCTAGGGGTGGTGGAGTAGCCTAGCGGTTAAAGCATTCGCTCATCACGCCGAAGGCACGGGTTCGATTTCCCACATGGGTAGAAGCCCATTTCTGGTGTCCCCCGCCATGATATTGCTGGATGATTGCTAAAAGCGGCATAAAACCCAACTCTCTCACTCACTCACTCACTATTTACTTGCTTAAAATATCATGGAAAGCAGATTGTTTATAAACCACCATCCTCTATAGCTCCAGAGCTCACCTTAGGTAAATCTACACTAACCCTGGATCCATTCAGGTGGTCCACGCAATCTCAAAATAGCCAGCCTGGATTTTCTTTTGCCAATTTGATTGGCTACTCAACTAGGTCTAACGTACCAATCAGAATGCAAATCAACCTCCATGTAGGGTTAGCAGTATCAACTACATGTCATTGATAAGGAAGAGTTTGCGAGAAATTCAGTATCGAAACCAGACTGACACGCAATAGAGAAAAAATATTTTTATAGAAAGAATGTGTTCATGTCTGTTAAAACTTAATGGAGTTGGTTTCAAGGTAACAGAAGTGACCTCCCTTACCCTTTCCTGTATGTCAATGTTCAATTATAATAAAATGTTAATGAACATCAAGGGCAGGTAACTTGTGATCACAAGAACCACTGAGGTGGATCCAGGGATTAGTGTTGGTTTACTGGAATGTGAGCCCAGGAGATATAGAGGATGATACACCAGTGCCAGGAAGCATGCTACTGCAAGACTGTTGCAACTTTCAATTAACATAGTGTTAAAAACTGATAAACAACTGCTTAGTTTCTACATTGTGGCAAATGCCTAATACTTTTATCTCACACTAAGTTATATACTCCTCAGAGAGTTGAGTGGGAGGATCAAGTACACACTGATTCTTTGACCAGGGTTATATGATGCAGCATCACTTGAGGGTTTTAATGTGGTGCATTATACAGGGACCGATTATTACTATAATAGCTTACATGCCCAGATGTAACTGAAATACAAGTCCAAGCAGCATTAGCCCAATTCACGAAGATTCAGTTTTGGAGGATGAGAGTTGTGCTGTGTGTATTCAGGATCAACAATCCTGTAGCTACCGTGGACCTGGCCCCGACAATCCTGGACATGGCAGGGGTGGAACAACCGGAGCAGATGGATGGTCGGTCCATGCTTCGTCTTCTCAAGCTGGCCAAAGATCAGTACGTGTAAACATTGCTGTTGTTGTACCATCATGATTCCACAAATGTTTACAGTAATGTAGCAGATCCAATGTAGTCTTAACTCTTGGGGGCGGTGGGGTAGCATAGTGGTCAAAGCGTTCTTTTGTCACGCCGAAGACCCGTGTTCGATTCCCCACATGAATACAATATGTGAAGCCCATTTCTGTTGTCCCCTGCCGTGATATAGCTGGAATATTGCTGAAAGCGGCGTAAAACTAAACTCACTCACTCACTCACTCACTTAACTCTTGCCCCACTTGTATGAAAACAAGATTTCTTGTGTCTTTCATTTATATTACCCGTGGACTTAATCCATCAAATATGGTAGCTGATTAAATTTGGCATGTGTAACCTGAGCAGACTATGTACTACAGCAGACGTGTAGTCATCACTCACTGACAGATACAGTGCAGCAGTGTAAATACCTCTCTTTTTACCTTCATAAAAATATATTTCAAATCAAGATGTATTCCCTTTTTTAGCTTGATGGTTTTGATACATTTGTCCACTTAGTTTAAACTTACACTGCTTTTGTGGGCTTTCCTTAAAAAATTGTCAGCAGTGCTGTGGTATTACTGACTGTGGTGTTAAGATGGTTGTGTATGTCACTGTAGGGACGTGAATGGAGGCTTTGTCCCCATGAAGAGGCCATGGAGGGACACCATCCTCATAGAAAGGGGGTAAGTAAACTACTGCTGGAAGTAGGGTCATGTATCATATGCTGAACATCCCAGAAACAAAGTGGAGAATCATTTTTATAGGTTTAAGGACATTAAAGGTCCCAACCACCTCGTGTACTGTCTTATGGTGATTAGTGCCCTGAGTGCTTGGGAAAGTGACTAAGATGTATCTTGTAAAAATCACAATATGTGTTCAAAGAGCAGCCATCTGGTCCCCACCTACTGTACCACTCACCCACCTGTTCTACCCAACCTGTTGCCCTCTCACCTACTTCTTCCACCTACTCCCCACTCACCCACCTGTTCTGCCCCACCAGACATTTATGGCTGTGATGTAATAGAGGGTATATTTTTAGAATTATACACAACGATAACTATAGTTTGATTTTTGGTGTTCACCAGTGTGATATTGCTGGATTAAACCATATTCACTCACCCTTGTTTTTGCCCAGAGTGTCCAGACTTGATCTCTGTTCCTCTTCCAGTCAGTGTGATCTGGTTGTAGTTGGTGTTGATGTTGTTCCAGGAAGGTGACGAAGAAGCAGATGACGATGTTGATCCGTGAGGAAAAGAAGGACTTCTGGTCCGGCTACACGAAGGACAAGGAGCAGTACCATTACTATCTGAATGGCCGTCTACGTAAACTGCGAGACTGTTCCAAGCCAGACTTCCAGCAGCCATGTAAAGCCAATCAGGTCAGGTCGATTATGATTGCTAAAAATGTGCAGGGGCAGTGGCGTAGCCTAGCCTAGTGGTTAAAGCGTTCGCTCATCACGCCGAAGACCTGGGTTCGATTCCCCACACTGGCACAATGTGTGAAGCCCAATTTTGGTGTGCCCCACCGTGATATTGCTGGAATATTGTTAAAAGCAGCATAAAACTAAACTCACTCACTAAAAATGTGCCCTGAATACACTAACTAGGTTTAAATGATTTTTATGTTTCTTAAACATTTGTAGTGAGCACCTTTTCAACAGCATTGTTTAAACAAAGTCAGCAGCGATCTTAAATGTCCTTTACTCATCCCTAGAGACACAGACTAGGCCAGGTAACAAAAGTGGTAACCTGCGGTCAATTTTCAGATTTTAAACAAATAAGCAATGATATGTAAAAAATGTGTAACTTGCAATTAAAGCCAGCCCTTGCGCTTGCTAGATTTTAGAAGTAACTGGTCTATCAGACAGCTAAAGTCTATTTGGGTGCTGATACTGTATGTGTCATCTATATTTGTGTTGTTATAGAAATGGTACTGTGAGCAGACCCCGAGTGGGATCCCCCGGAAACACAAGTGTCGTGGTGAGAACCAGGTACAGAGCGACCAGGCGTTCGGGGTGTAATTGTGCTGGCCGCAAGAAGAAGATGAAGCAGGAGAGAAAGAATCAGCGCCGATTCCTCAAAGCACATCTTAATAAACGTAAGTGAAACAGAGCGGCCCTGGGATATGAGGCAGCTCTAAGGTTATGTTGGAATCTGACTGCCTTCGCTGATTGCCCAAAGTTTACTACGCAAATGTTGGTGACATTAATTATTATTATTCCAAATGAAGGTTGGGTATTATTTTGATGAGCCAAGGTCATGGTCATTAGAGAAAACAGTTTATGGATACAATTTCTCCCAAAGTATAAAAACCTCAGTATCTGAGGCAGGGTTTCCTCTACAGGCATTGAACTTTGTTTGTATTTGTACTTATCCTACAATGGGTAATGTAACTTGAACCACAATTAACTAGCTGGAGTTTATAGGTGCCTATTTTCACTCTGTCAGTTTACGTATTGCTGTGTATGAATTTGTCTATAAGACGACCCCATGGTTAAGACGACCCCCCAAACTTGACCCTTAAAATCTGTGTCAAAATGGTATGTTTCGTGCATAAGTCGATCCCCCGCGATGGGATCCTAATCGTGGCAAACACAGACCACAGACAAACTGGCAGTTACCAATAATTATAACTTTGGTCCACATTATTCAAAGAATTCACTGTCATATATATTGTGTCTACTCACGTATCGAAACGAAGTGTAGTTGACAGAAAATGCATAATATATTTTGCTTCTCTAAATATCATATTTATTGTAGCGACAAACTGGCTTCCGTATTTTACCCCATTCCATGTGCTTACCATGTTCATGAGGGTCCATATAACCTTAGTGTTGATTATATATATTTTACATAAAAACTGTAAATTAACTTACACAATGCTAGGATATATTTCTTTGGGTTAAATAATAGTATTCTGTATTATATTTTACTGATGACTGCTTTGTGTATGAGACAAATACGCACGGTAATCTTAATCCCTGCAAATAATACAATGCCTAGCAAAAACAACTTATAACTTGAAAGGTAAATAATCTTGTCTAGTGATGTTTAATTGCAAATTTGACGTCTCTACTGACAAAGTCGTCTTCTCTTGTTTGTTCACGTGAAGTGATACGATGTTGTTTTGTTTACCCCTGGAAAAAAGTTTGACGAAAGCATAACCCATGGATAAGATGACCCCCTTCTACAGACTGCTTTTTTTTTGGTCCTCAAAATTCGGCTTATAGATGGTCATATATGGTAGTGTTTAGTTATGTCTACACCATTATGTATGTTATGTATCAAGAACACTTGATGGTTTGATACTTGTCAACTGCCTTGATATAACTCTTCGGTTAAATACAGTTGCCTATTTTACATGTTAGATGAGTTTCCTGTCAAATGTTTTTCCTTGCAGCGTACCGTCCAAAGTTCCTGCGGTCCAAAAGATCTGTGACTGACCTCTATACAATGAACAATTCACCAGCACTTGATCTTCAGAGTACAATAGGTGGGTGTCTGGTAATTGTCAGGTATCCTTTAGACCACATGAACACCACATTTGTCCAGGTGAAGGTGTTGGGTGTCATTTCAAATTTGTAATGATCTTTGCTGTTGCTAATATCTTGAACCAATCCATCAATTTATTTGCGTATACTGATATCCTGAACTATTGCTACAGTTCAGGTGAAAAACCCTGATACCTTTAGTTATTGTTAAGCTGTACTTTGGTACACTGATGTCTTGAAACCCTGCTACAATGATATATACCTATCATGAACAACTGCAACAGTTTACATAGGTGTACTGATATCTTGAATCATTGCAACAGTTTACGTAGGTGTACTGATATCTTGAATCATTGCAACAGTTTACGTAGGTGTACTGATATCTTGAATCATTGCAACAGTTTACGTAGGTGTACTGATATCTTGAATCATTGCAACAGTTTACATAGGTGTACTGATATCTTGAATCATTGCAACAGTTTACATAGGTGTACTGATATCTTGAATCATTGCAACAGTTTACATAGGTGTACTGATATCTTGAATCATTGCTACAGTTTACATAGGTGTACTGATATCTTGAATCATTGCTACAGTTTACATAGGTGTACTGATATCTTGAATCATTGCAACAGTTTACATAGGTGTACTGATATCTTGAATCATTGCAACAGTTTACATAGGTGTACTGATATCTTGAATCATTGCAACAGTTTACATAGGTGTACTGATATCTTGAATCATTGATAAGCAGTACTGAGGTGTACTAATGTCACCAACTAATCATTGCAACAATTTACGTAGACCAAGTATTCTCTTGAATTATTGTCAAGACAATCCCCAGCTAGCTTTGCTGATTTCAGAGGCCAAATGCTTGATTGATGGCACGTCATCATACCCTTTTCTTGATTTTACTCAATTTTTATCAAATGTTTGCACGTTCAGGTTTTGAGCTGTTTGACCGCCGATGTCGCATGTTGGACAATGGCACAATATCTTGTGACCAGGAGCTGTACCAGGATCCAGGGGCATTGCAAGACCACAAGGAGAAGATTGAAGAGATGATCAAAGAGTACCGCAAGGCATTAGAAGATCTCAGGGTGAGTTGAGATGGACCTCAGGATGTGCCAAGAAGGGCCTTAAAGTCAGCAAGAGTTGAGAAAAAGGTAGGAGGGACATTAAGACGGTTTAAAGATGATGGTAGAAAAAATTCAAGGTGAGACAGGGAAGGTTCAGAGTAATGTAGGGTAGAATCAGGGTGAGGTAGGGTAGAATCAGGTTGTGGCAGGGTGAGCCAGGGTAGATTCAGAGTAGATTCAGAGTGAGACTGGGTAGATTCAGGGTGAGGCTGGGTAGATTCAGGGTGAGGCAGGGTAAATTCAGGGTGAGCCAGGGTGGATTCAGGGTGAGGCAGGGTAGATTCAGGGTGGATTAGAGTGAGGCAGGGTGGATTCAGGGTGAGGCTGGGTAGATTCAGGGTGAGACTGGGTAGATTCAGACTGAAGCAGGGTGGATTCAGGGTAAAGCAGGGTGGATTCAGGGTGAAGTAGGGTGGATTCAGGGTGAGGCAGGGTGGATTCAGGGTGAGGCTGGTTAGAGTTACAGTGAGGTATCATAGACTAGGGTTGAGTCATAGAAGATTCAAGGCGATCAAGGGTAGATATATCAGTGTGAGGCAGGGAGTATAGGGTGAGCAAACTAAGCATGTGTTTTATGCTCTTCCTGACATATCTTTGCGTATGAAATCTTTATACTTTCTCTGCCCAGTCCAGCTTCGCTACCTACCTGTAAATGGCAGACATGCAGTACTGATCTTGCGTCAAAGTACAAAAACTTTTCTTCCTACCACTGAGGAATACGGATCATGCAAATAATCTCACATGCAAATTGCATGATGTTTATTTCAGGCTATTCGCCGACACCTGCAGGTAGGAAGGCAGATCTCCCCTCTGGTGGGGCAGTGTCAGGCTTACTTCATGTTGCCAATTGTCTGCAGAGCAGGTCTGCTGGCTGTTTGTCATACATGGCATGGCATGGTGGCTGTCTGTCATGCATGGCTGGTCATGGTGGCTGTTCATGCATGGCAGATCAAGGTGGCTGTTTGTCATGCATGGCAGATCAAGGTGGCTGTTTATCATACACTGCAGGCCATGTTGGTTGGTTGTCATGTGTGGCAAGTCATGCTGCCAATTTGTCATGCTTTGCAGGCAATGCTGGCTTTTGTCATGCATGGCTTGTCATGTTGTCATGCATGAGATCTGCGACCTGTCTGAGCTGTGACATTGTCTGAGATCTCTTATGATGTTTGTTCATATGCTACTGATGTCACAACCGCATCAAATGCCAAGGTCATTCCAAGGTCACATTCATCAACTTGGCATCATCAATTGTCACTGTACTAAACTGGATGCTCATATTTTCATGTTAATCTCTTGCAACATCACCAGTTTTCACCAAGGTGACCCTGTGTTGCATCATGTGTGATTCACTGTGGTAAATATTAATCTATGTATGGGATCAAGGGACCAGTTGGAATCTCAAGGCTTCTGATAGTAACAGATCATTTGACACATCAATGAATTTATTGATTATGATGAGAGTAGTAGGCCACACTGACCAAATGTTGTATTTTGCCATGAAATGCCTAAAGTACTTGACTTTAAATAAAAAGAAGATGTAACCCAGAAAAAATCTCTATGTTCATCAAATATCATCTTCTAAAATGCCAATCAAGCATCTACTTGACTTTAGTCAATCAAATGTTTTATGTTACAAGAACCACTCCTGATTGAAATATCTGATTTGCTCTCATGGAAGCTACTATTCATAGAAAAGAACTTCTTTCACAACCATTATTGGTAGGCATTTTGAAATAAGATATGTAGAATAATAGGTTATAATAGGATCTGGTTACTACGATATCCGGAGTGTGCGCAAACCAGAAAACATGGTAGAAATCAGCTGAGAAGGTGTATTTGCTGTCGAGGGACAGAGGTGAGCTTGAAACTTGGATCCTTTCGATGTCTGATTGTAAAATCATGTCCTTTGCATCATCAATATGGATGTGTGACATCATAATAGTGACCTGTTGTGAAAAACTAAACCTACCAAGGATTGCTCTATTTCCTTCATGGGAACCTAATGTATGCATGTGGCCGTGTGCATGTAGTTGTGTGCATGTGGTGTATGCAGCTGTGTGCATGTAGTTGTGTGCATGTGGTGTATGCAGCTGTGTGCATGTGTGTGCAGCTGTGTGCATGTGGTGTGTGCATGTAGTTGTGTGCATGTGGTGTATGCAGCTGTGTGCATGTGGTGTGTGCAGCTGTGTGCATGTGGCCGTGTGCATGTATGATAACACAGAGTAACAGTAGATTGCAGGAACGAAACACTGTTGACTGTTGACAGAGGGATATTATAATTGGCAAAAAGTAGCGTGAGAGAACTACGTATCGACTTTGTTCCAGTTTTGCCAGAAAGCAATATGAATCCCACAAGGAACTTGTTATAATCTTGCCTCAACCTATAATGATCATTGTGGTTCTCACCAAGTTGTAAGTGCTGCTGTTCCTGTAGGTGGCCAGTGTTTTATCTTTGTCCGGATGTGCTGGTCCTGGGTTTAAATCCCACTTTGGTCTGTCAGCACCATGTCCTCACCCAAATGTTTCATCAGAGTGACATATGCAGCCTTCACCTCTTTGGTATTTACATATCCAGTTTTTATTAAGTACACCAAAGATAGTTTGGACATACCAGTTTCCATCTTTGAAAATTGGAAGTAAAACTAGTACAATACTCAAAGATCAGTGATGTTTTACCAATTTTATTTGTACCTAGCTGTCATTCCGTAAGTGGCTTCAGATGTGTCACATGCTGAAATGAGGGCTGTGATTGGCCATTTGAAATGTACTGCCTGACCCAACCAAGAAGTCAGGTCAAGATAACTAATGGGCAATACCTTGACTATTTCAGGTGATCCGTCGCCACCTCAAGCAGCAGCGCCCTGATGACCTGAGTATGTTTGACCTGAACATGAGTGGCCCTCTGCTGTCGGAGACAATCAATATGGAGGAAGACTGTGACTGTGAGGATGACGTCATATCAAGGTTGGCCAGTCATATTTGGTTTATGATCAATCTTATTATCATTGGGATTGTAGGTTACAGCAGGTCTCCAGAATCTTATTGTTGTCTTCCGAAGTGACAATGTAATGAGTGGACAGACTCAGTGACTACTTATTAGTCAAATCCCATGTCGTCGTATCCAGATTGCACTCATTGATGATGATGAGGATGATGATGACTTATCCTGTCAGATCACTCTGAAGTCAAAAGAATGCCTTGCATTAGCGATTCAACCATAGTTGAAGGTCTAGGTATTCTTTATCATCGTCATCATCATCATCATCATCATCATCGTCGTTGTGGTCGTCGCCATGATGATGATCATCACTGGATTTCAGCATTGAATGTTACATACAATCACAAATATTTGATCTCATACATGTAACTGTTTTTGATGTTGTAATTAACATGCAAAACAGTCAAGTGAGTCTTCTGTGGAGCCTTTGAGGTTGCATAAAGGGTCATACACATACAGCATTATATGAGGAGCAGGAATTGGAGTTGAAATATTCCTATGTGGTCAACTTGTTTTGATTGTTCCAGTTCCAAGACTTCAGGACGCTTTAATCAGAAAGATGATCGTTCCTGGAAGAAGCTGAAGAAGCGGAAGCGCCAGAGGAAGAGGAAGAAGAATGTGAACTGTAACTCCCCCAACATGAAGTGCTTCACCCATGACAATAATCACTGGCAGACACCCCCAAAGTGGAATTGTGAGTTACAGAACACCTCGCTTCTGCATGATCCATCTTCATGAGTCAGGGGTGTGTTGGCATGAGAGTTACCTCCCTTTGACCGCAGGCACTTGACTGCAATCATTTTCCAATTCACCACATAATTCAATAGCTGTTTGTACAGAATGTAACTGAGCATCACTTATATTTCAAAGAACTATTTAGTGACCAGTAAATCAGTGACTAGTACATTTCAAAAGTACTGATTTCATAACTTCTCGAAACTGTTTCTCAAACAACACGCAAACAAATCCTGTGAGTTCACTTTGAAGTCTAAAGAAGGCCTTGCACTAGCAATTCGGGCATAGTTGTAGGCTCAGTTTTTACCATCGTCTAGGGAAACAATGATATACAGTCAAAGACCATTGTATCATACTTATTGTTGTCTTGAAGTAAAAGTTTGGTTGTAGTCTTTATTTAGTCATCATTTTGTGAAGGTCCTTTCATCTCAACAAAGTTTGACTGTAATTAGATTTTGGTGAGATCCATTGAATAATAATGTCTTTATCTCTGTGATTTAAACTGGAATTTGAGCTGAAGTTGCTTCATAGTGATTACATCATGAATGATTTGATTTGTGTAGTACAATTTCTGCAAGATATGAACCTGTTTTCCCAAAGATAAGGATCATTGTAGAAACTAGGTAATAATATATGCCATTAACCTCTGACTCATCTGGATGTCAAGGTCGCAGTCTGGACACATTTTGATTTTGTTAGCCCAAGTTTCTCAACTAACAACATAGTCCTGTCTGCATGGATTAACACGAACACCTGCTAACTGATGCCTGTATTACCTGCACTAGAGCAACTGTCACTAACATCAATCAGTGTATTGTTTGTTGTGAATGGCATTGTTGACGTCACTTCTTATTATGACATTAAGTCTGAATGCTGAAGATTGCTGGAATTAATCAACAGTTTTGGTTTTCCATGAAGGCAGCCATAATCTGTGCATTTACTGAAGGGGAGCTGAAATGAATTATATAATAATTAAATATAGAAATTATTACGCTTGCTTGTGTCCTATACTAATTTTTTCGAACTCATAGGAATTCATCTTTTACCCACTTTCTTGATCAAGAAATACAAGATTTATGACATTTAAAAAATAAAATAAAATGTTAGGACACACTGGCTTGTATAGTAATCTCTGTTCATGTTCATTTATTACTAGAGAGCAGCACATGGTTGTTCCTCCAGGCCAGGCCTTATTGTGTGTTGGGGGCAGCTGGGACCAGTTTGTCAAGAACATGACCAAATCACACTACACTCAGCATGCACAGAAGTGTCAAGGCTACATCATATCTCTACCATACACAGCTTCTCATAAACAAGACCATGTTGTTACTGGGGGTGGGGTAGCCTAGTGGTTAAAGCATTCGCTCGTCCCACTGAAAGCCCGGGGGTCGATTCCCCACATGGGTTCAATGCGTGAAGTCCATGTCTAGTGTTCCCCCGCTGTGATATTGCTGGAATATTGCTAAAAGCAGTGTAAAAACCCAACTCACACACTCACTCACCCCATGTTGTCACTACTGCCATTTCTCCATCAAAGATGTTGATATGAAAAACAGGAAGAGGAAATAAGAAGCTGAAAGTTTCAGTCATTTTGAAAATATGTTTCACTGAAGTTGAGTTTCTTCATCTGATGTCCCAAAGGGACTTATTGCCCTCAGTTGTTCAGACACCTGGCATGGCAGGACTTGATTAAATTATATTATACTTGCTCTTGTCAAATGTGAAGATTCAACCTTTCATTAATATGGATGCCATGAACATGTACTTGTGTGTCAAAATCTAGAAAAGCACACAAAAAACAAACACACACTTGCACACACCAAGCAAGACACACACAAACACACATGCCCCATACACAAGATACACAACAGACATACCCCACATCTACAGTGCCTGGGTATCTAGTGACAGGTAGTGACAGACACAGAAAGGTGAGCTACAGGCTAACTTGTAGGTGATGGCCTGAGTTTGACATCAGTATCAGTGACTGAGATGGATAGAGTAATGGTTAAAGTTGCTGTGAAAGACCTGACTATCTACAGACCAATGTGGTATAGATGGAGTAATGCTGACTGGAGGAAAGCAGCATTTACTGTACATATTGATTGTAGTACCATGATTACTAATTCTAGACAAACTGACAGCATGTAAACATCTCCTGATAGACATGTATCTGGGGACCAGTTCAAAGTTTCCATGTTGTATGCAGCATGCGGTACCTGGCAACTGCTCCTAGGCGACCACAGTTATGAGATGACAACCCCCTCTCCCATCCCCCCTCCTTTGTGCATTCGTGGGCAATGTTCAAAATAACTCTTTCTTGTAACTATTCCACCTTCCAGGCTCTTGAAGGCCTAGGGCATTCTTTTGTCACAACTGGTTTACAATTTTAGTGATTTTAAATTTGTGTTTTAAATTCACCTGCCCAACAGTAATGGTTTTTTCAACTCATCACAACGCAACTCAACTCATTCCGCTCTTGCCATATTTCCTGTGGTAATATATAACCTGATAATTCAGTCAATGTGGGGAAAAGTGTTGTCAAGCAGACAGGATAAATTGCTTGTCATGTTTCTGGTCCATATTATGTTCCTGGACCACAAGGAAGCAGCTACTTCAAGCACAGTTCACAATGCCTTGTATTTTCGTCTACAGTAACCCATGCTTGTCGTAAGATGCAATTGGATCGGGTGGTCAGGCCCGCTGACTTGGTTGACACGTCATTGATACTCATGCTGTTGATCACTGGATTGTCTGGTCCAGACTCGATTATTTACAGCCCGCCGCCATATAGCTGGAATATTGCTGAGTGCGGCGTAAAACTAAACTCACAATATTACATCTTTCTGGTTTTCAGTCATTATTACCTCTCTGTGTTTGGTTGAATGAATAATTTAAAAATAAGATTCCAGGATATGATATGATAGAGTATTTCCTGCTAGAGCCCGGTGGCATCACCGTATTTCCTACAGTAATAGTACAGGCTGGATGGCTGGCATGTAGTTGAATGTCGATTGTCGGTTCAGGATCCACGCATGTAGACTAGGTACTGGGGTAGATTAGAGAATACACACGTGTACTGGGGCAATAATTAATCTAGATTTATATTTTTATTGTACCCAGTCTTGCAAACCAGTCGTGTGTTCATATTTTTGTATTCCCATCCTGACAGTCCTTATCCTTGATTACTTAATAGGCTATACACACACACGTATCTCCATTCTGTTATAATTGCCCTGGACCTGTGCACTTCCTTCACCTTCTTGAACAACACGCCACTTGGAAAGCCTTTCAAACACGTTAGAGTGGAACCCCACTAATCCAGACCCCAGATATTCAGCAACCCAGCCTACTGGACGATATTTACATGAAACAAAATATCCAGATTTATCCAGAAATATTTTCAGGACTGGGAAAGTGAATTTCAATTACCAGCAATGCAAAGTACAGTCAAATCCCGATGAGTCGAATCGCTGGGGACCAAGTAATAAATTTGACTTATCGATGTATTCGAGACATAGGTATGTCTATGAGGGTAGAAAAAAAGATGACCCAGTCCTAATTCCTCTGCCTAAGCATTTGTTTATCTAATGATTTCCATATCACTAATAGGGGCACCTTATCAGTTCCAGTCTGATTAGCACAGACAGTGATTTCCGTAAAATCACTAATCTGCCTTTTGAACTCACCCGTCAATGGCGGAAAGGTGAGAGCCACGCTGGTTTATTAATTGGATCAGTTTGCTACACCAATCAACTTCTCATTGACTGACTTCGGCTTATGTATACAAGATTGCTGTTGTTTGAATCTCATGGGACCAAATTTCCTTCTCGAGTCATCGTGTGTATTTATGAGACGAATTCGTGTAACCGGTATTCAAATGATGACAACTATAACAGGGAATGGTCGGGACCGACAGGTACTTCTAGTTATGCATAATATTCGAGACACCGGCATTCGACTCATCAGGATTTGACTGTACCACTTTTGTGTTCCCTTATAAGGAAAGTGCCCATGCATGATATGTTTGTTTTGCAATTCATTTCACCTGGTGTCCAACATGAAAGACACAGGTATCATGTTAATCACAGTGTGAATTTAATCACAGTATGGTAACAATAATTGGACATTTCTTTCTAATCTGTTTCAATCAAATTATTAAGCAATATATAACAAATTTATGGATAACAACTTCTTTATTTTCGTGAGTGCGACGTTTCGATACAGATTCTTGTACCGTTGTCAAGCAAGAGTGATACATGAAGTGTAGGAGCTGCATATATATACTGTATATAACAATGAAACAACATACTAGACAAAGGAAACAACATAATTGCCATGATTGGCTAAGCAGTAAGCTGATGAAGCCAGTAAGTACATAAAGGATAGTGAATGGAAGCCAGAGATGTAGTTACAATGAGATGTTTATACAATGGATGCGATGTTTATACAATAGACTGGGCTTGGTGGAGAGTGGATCATAAGCAGATACTTCATTCCATCTGCTTATGATCCACCTCCACCAAGCCCAATCTATTGCATAAACATCGCACCTATTGTATAAACATCTCATTGTAACTACATCTCTGGCTTCCATTCACTATCCTTTATGTACTTACTGGCTTCATCAGCTTACTGCTTAGCCAATCATGGCAATTATGTTGTTTCCTTTGTCTAGTATGTTGTTTCATTGTTATATACAGTATATATATGCAGCTCCTACACTTCATGTATCACTCTTGCTTGACAACGGTACAAGAATCTGTATCGAAACGTCGCACTCACGAAAATAAAGAAGTTGTTATCCATAAATTTGTTATATATTGTACGTCTCAACTTCTAAAATGCCACTCAAACAAATTATTAAGCGTTTCATTCATGTCATTTACATTATTTTGGGTGGAGTCATGTTAAACTAATCTGTAGATCAAACCGACTCGGACAATAGCGTGACTACAGCTGTGTGTTCTGGTTTAGTTTATAGAGAGATACACACTGTAATTTTTATTGATACATCTAAAAAATGCCTAGCAGAACTGGAAATACAATTCATATGGCAATTATCACGTCTAGTGTCACATATTTATTTCCCAGGTTTATAATCATCTGTTTGTTCATCTCAGTTTTTGAGATATGGTTGTGCTATTGTTTGCTGGGCATAAAGCAAGAAAACTCCTCCATTAAAACGAATATGTTTGTCTCCATGTCATTTGGGTAGAGGATGTTACTTTTGTCAGTTGCAAAGGGATTCAGATCTCTGGACATTCGATAAGTATTTGAGAAAATGTAAGTGTCTGGATATATATGAATTTTAACTGAAGAGATAAATTCTGTGCTGAGTTAAAGATGAGACAAATGAAAACTGTACATGACAAACAAAAGGGTATTCTAATTCAGCTTAGTATGTAACACGAGTTCTGATTGGTCAATGCTGTAAATTTCTGACCATATAATCAGCATATACGGTCGCAATTTGAAAACCGATTCACCAAAACCTTTGAATGTATCCTTACACTATTGGGGTAACGCTCCTTTGCAGGACATTGTCATTTGCAGAAGCCATAGGTCAATTAACTCTCCTGTCCAGCTAAAATGGGTGGAATTTGTGTTAAAAAAGACAAAACAGTATCATAAATTTAATTTTAAGTTTAAAAAACTTACTCGCAACAGGCTGTTGACCCAACACTGTTAGATCATGAAACAAGATTTATGACGTCATTATGGAGTGTGACGTCACGTGCTGCTGTGACGTTATTAGACAACAGAACTGATAATGGCCCGTAGTTGAGGAATCAGCGGGCTGCTCATTTCTGTAACTAGAGGGCGGTTTCATCATAATTCCGTTCATTTTATCTATAATACTATGATCTATTCATCATTGTCAGATTTAGTCTGTGTGCACATAATAAACGTGTGTAGTTTGAAAAGGGAACTACTTTTTCTGGCGGCGGTGTAAGTTCAAGGAGTGATATGATTAACCTTTGACCTAGAGGACCTGGTTTAAATAATGAATTTCTTTCATGAAAAAAACAGTGTAAAACAAGTTGATTAGAATTGGAATGCTCGCGCAAGCAGAGCTGATGTAACGTTAAATTTATGGCTATATAACCACCGGTATACGTCCCCAATTCGTCAAACACAGTACAGTTATCCCCTAAGTGACTGGGTCCAAGGATTGATAATAGAATAGAGGTATTATCTGACGAGCTGGTTCATGTTAGGCTGTTTGTACAGCTGTACACTGTCCTTAATGTGGGGTAGCCTGGTGGTTAAAGCATTTGCTTGCCATGCTGAAGATCTGGGTTTGATTCCCCACATGGGTACATTGTGTTAAGCCCATTTCTGGTGTCCCCGCTGTGATATTGCTGGAATATTGCTAAAAGCTGTGTAGAACCATACTCACTCAACCACTGTCCTTAATGCATCAGCTTTGTCAAGTCGTTTTCCTGAGTCAATTAAAGTGTGGAAAAATTAGATTCTCATTCGAGTCCACCAGCAGGTCTAATGACAGCATATGCTGTGGTGTCCCTCATTGCCTGCAGCAGAAGCTGGAGGTGCCTAGGACAGACTGCCATCGCCGCAGTAGTGCAGATACGTTCATGTTTAGGATGCCAAGAATGAAGCTTTGCTCTGCATCATGTCCAATATATCTAGACATTGTTCTGTGAATGTACTAGCGGGAACAAGTAATTGTTAATAAGATATATACAGTACATGATAATTAATGGTATCTTGGAGTTTTGCATTTATACTTAGCTTACCACTTCAGTCATTCTTGCACATGGCAAACCACTTGTTGAAGTGGACCTCCATCCCATCAAAGTGTGTGGTTTTTTTTATACAAAATATCAACTAAACATTGTTTTCCTGTACAGTCCGTTTGAGTCAGAAACGGACCGAAGAATTGCAAATTTGATCATTGTACAAAATTGCAACATAAATATAAATAGTACACATGTTTATCATTTACGAATACCCAACAGCTTTCTTATATTTGAAAATTTTCCGGACTCCACCAAAAAAGTTCTTTAAGAAACCATCATTAAAACTTTGACACAGTTCACTATGTGTTACGAGGGAGGAGTGCAGAGAAAGGGACAGCCAGGTGTTAGAGAAGCATGTGCACAAGTGCCCACCAAGTTATTGATTCATTAGCCTGTGCTGTGCCGTCTCCATCCTTTCTCGCACAACTGGCTGTCCCTTTTTCTGCACTCCTCCCTCGTAACAAATAGTGAACTGTGTCAAACTTTTTACAGTTACAGTAAGAAGAGTCAGTGCTTCTACGAGTTGTTGATGAGTAAAATGTGTACATTTAGTTTCTTTTTCCTGCTTGTATATTTGTTATCAATTACTGTTTTAAATACAGATGAAAGTACTTAGAATACTGTGATTGACAATTATTGATTGAGAATTATTGTGATTACATTTCTGGTCAAGGATGTATCTCATTTTCTTAGCATTTTCAGTCATGTCTCCAAGATACTGGTTTCATTCATACATTAATTATTGTTCTCTCCCAGAATGCTGTGGTGCCTTGTCTCTACACCCACATTTTCATTTGTATCCTCAAGTCTGATTTGTGCATGTGTGACATTCATCCCTGTGCACTGTTTAAAACGTTTGCATGAAAATATTATTCTAGCCAAGGAGAATATTTCTTCATTAAATTTTGTCCATAGCTCAGCGCAAATGGAAACGATTTAATCACGAAACCTGTAGGAAAGAAGGAATGGAGTGTACGTTGATGGACACTCATCACTGGAAAACAGCACCGTTCTGGAAATGTAAGACATCGCCTGGCATTGTCATATCTTCAAACTAATATGTCTGGAGTATTGTAGAATATGGCAGATTTGGAGGGATACTTGGCGTGATGAATTTATTTATTTTCAGTTTTTTAGTACCTGTGTTTCCTGTTTGCAAATGTAGGTAATTGCATTCTGTGGCAACACAGTTTGATGCTATGATTTATTAAAGTTTAAACGTGGATAAACAGCCAGACTATGTTAGTAACTGCTTGGTATCTTGGTTGTTGGATTTGTGTGGTAGATATCACACTGTGATGTGACAGTCGTTTAGATAAATGCTTTAATGCCTACACTGTGAAGTTGATTACTGCTGAACTGTAGCAGGGTACAAATACCCTAGTTGTCCTTCATACAACTTTTGTGGTTGTATTTGGAAATCGTGAAATATTTTGATGTATGGCTTTTCAACCTTGTCAAAATGGTATCATTAGATGGTGAAGTTGCACCTACTGTCAAATGGCCATGTTGCACTAACTGTCAAATGGCCATGTTGCACTTACTATCAGATGGCCATGTTACACTTACTGCCAGATGGCCCTGTTGTACTTACTTTCAGATGGCCATGTTGCACTTACCGTCAGATGGCCATGTTGCACTTACTGCCAGATGACCATGTTGCACTTACCGTCAGATGGCCCAGTTGATTATACACTCAGATGGCCATGTTGCACTTACCGTCAGATGACCATGTTTCATTTGCTATCAGATGGTCAAGTTAGACTTACTGTCAGATGGTCATGTTGCACTTACCATCAGATGGCCATGTTGCACTTACTGTCAGATGGCCCTGTTGATTATACAATCAGATGGCCATGTTTCATTTGCCATCAGATGGCCATGTTTCATTTGCCATCAGATGGCCATGTTGCACTTACTGTCAGATGGCCATGTTGCACTTACTGTCAGATGGCCATGTTGCACTTACTGTCAGATGGCCATGTTGCACTTACTGCCAGATGGCCATGTTGCACTTACAGTCAGATGGCCCTGTTGATTATGATTATACACTCAGATGACCATGTTTCATTTGCCATCAGATGGCCATGTTGCACTTGCTGTCAGATGGCCAAGTTGCACTTACTGTCAGATGGCCATGTTGCACTTATCGCCAGATGGCCATGTTGCACTTACTGTCAGATGGCCCTGTTGATTATACACTCAGATGACCATGTTTCATTTGCCATCAAATGGCCATGTTGCACTTACTGTCAGATGGCCAAGTTGCACTTACTGTCAGATGGCCATGTTGCACTTATCGCCAGATGGCCATGTTGCACTTACTGTCAGATGGCCCTGTTGATTATACACTCAGATGACCATGTTTCATTTGCCATCAAATGGCCATGTTGCACTTACTGTCAGATGGCAATGTTGCACTGACTGCCAGATGGCCATGTTGCATTTACTGTCAGATGGCCATGTTGCACTTACCATCAGATGGCCATGTTAGACTTACTGCCAGATGGCCATGTTGCACTTACCATCAGATGGCCATGTTAGACTTACTGCCAGATAGCCATGTTGCACTTACTGCCAGATGGTCAAGTTAGACTTACTGTCAGATGGCTTCTGCTGGTTGTGCACCTGTCTGACCGGGTAATGTGCCCAAGACAGCTGCACTAGGTGCAAGATGCTGCTGTTTTATCTCTCTCCTGCAAAGAACAGAGATAGTTTATCACCATGTCACTGATGCCTAGATGAGGTAAATATGTCTAAACACGTTCAGTCCTGATCCAAAAGGCACTATAACTCATTCTTCCCCATAGTGTCGTTTTCAGTTCTTACAAATAGTTTAGTAAGTTTCTTTATTGAAAATTCTGTATTTGGTCATTCACATTAAGGACATGTTTTATGTATGCTGCTAATTATCTTTTGTAATTGCTTTTTTGCACCCTTTATCTCAGTGAGCACTGTCCTTCAAGTGAGCTTTTATGCAACAGCTTTTTTTCATATTCACTTTAATTTTTGTTTTGATTCATCTTTATTAGAAGCTTGACTCTTTTCACTCATTTCATTTGTAAAACATTGATGACAAATCTATTGACTAAACAAGGTGTTTTGTTTTCAGCTTTTATATATGTAGCAAGTGTGTTTGTTAATTTAAGAAGTATTATGATCTTGTGTAAGAAATGTCAATCTATATAAATAAGAACATAAGAAATCAGGCTGAGTGGTCTGACAGCAAGGGTGTAAAGTAGACAGATTTATGCGTACATTCTATTTACAATGATGAGGCTTCAATATCTATTAACTGTCATTTGGTAAATGTTTGGTGCTCATGGTTGGGTCTATCCTGTTGAATGTCAGTTTTCTGGCTTCAAGTGGAGGTCCTCATGGGGATTCCAGGCTGGAATTGGTCCCGACAGACTGTATTGGTCGTAAGAGACAATTTAATGGATCAGGTGGTCACTGTTGGTGATTTGGTTCATGGCATGTCCTTATACCCCATTGGCCTGGATCAGTGCTCAAAACACCAATCACGGGATTGTCTGGTCCATTTATTTCAGGGTGCAATATAGCTGGAATATTGCTGAGCTGCGTTGACCCCATGAACTTCTGTTCTTGAACATCAGGAGAATCAAGTCAGTAATTGATACACTTTAAAAAAAATTCCACTCACGCTTCTAGACTGAAACTCAAAGTTGCTAACAGTTAAGAAACCAAAAATGACAAAGTGTCAATTCATGATAATCATGTAAGATAAGACAGCTCACTTGTGATCCAAAAGCAGTATTTTAATGCTGAGCATTCCATTATTCAAGGTGTAATGTCGACTAGTATTGGAAGACAATATTAAATTGTAGATATTGACCATAATCTGAGCATTCCATTATTCAATCGTCACGATATGGCTGAAATATTGCCGATGTGACGTTAAATAATAACTCACTCACTCACTCCATTATTCAAGGTGTAATGTTGACTAGTATTGGAAGACAATATTAAGTTGTAGATATTGAACATTCCATGAACATGGTTTAGTGTAGACTTGTAGAACATCCATGAAGTAGGTTATGAGGGTGACTGTGTGTCAAGAGTTGAGTCTGTGTTCCAGTGGGTCCGTTCTGCTTCTGCCCCAACGCCAACAACAACACCTACTGGTGTCTCCGCACTGTCAACATGACTCACAACTTCCTCTACTGCGAGTTCATCACACGCTTCTTCAGTTTCTATGATTTCAACAAGGATCCACATCAGGTGAGCTGAGGGTTTTCTTCTTTCGATGATGCAAGGAAACAATCTTCTATAGGGTTACATAACTTGCACACAATGTCATCTGGCAATCTATCACATACTATCCACAATTAAGCAGTGTACAGCAAATATGATCACACTAGTTTACTTTAAAGCAGTTTATGGCAATATGATCATATGATAGTCCACTAGGATTTATTAATTTTCTGTGTGGGAAAAGCCAGAGATGTGTTAGTCACTCCTCAATGTCAAAATGGAAACTTGTGGGCAGAAGGCAAAATTGAAAAACCCCACCAAAGACCTCATGTTTCAGTTGCAAAACACAGTAGCCGAACTGTAAGGTCACAACCGTTGTGAACTGTAACCTACTTCCTGGTTTTCTGTGGAAGGTGTTTATTATTGACACAACTACACAGGAGCACTGTTAGTATGATAGCCAGGTAGTTATTTGTGTCCACAAGTCAGGCAGTAGACATGTACAGTGTTTGAAGCCTATTTCTGGTATCCCCAGCTGTGATATTGCTGAGATATTACAAGCAGCGAGGTTGATGTACTACTCTTTGATGTACCATTAATAACATATAAGACCATGGTTAACTAGTCTCTGATTCTTTCAGCTTGAAAACTCTGTGGCAAAACTGAACTTTGGGGTGCTACAACAACTCCATGAAGACCTGGCACAGCTGAAATCATGTTCTGGTAGAAATTGTGACAACCGCAGTCGCAAAGGTAAGACCCATCTTAGGCAGTCTGTGAAGGCTTGTGTGTACTGGGTCCTATCTCTTTTGGTGCACAGTTTTTCTTCTGCCAGATATAATCTGTATGTACTACACATCCAATACTGGGAACATAAGCACTCTAATATAACATATATGTCACTGTATATGTCACAGTGTGTAACATGTAAATACAACACATCCCAATGCCAAGAAAGTAGGCACCCTGATATAACATGTATGTCACAGTGTATAACATATATATGCAACACATCCCAATGCCAAGAAAGTAGGCACCCTGATATAACATGTATGTCACTGTATATGTCACAGTGTATAACATATACAGTCAAATCCCGATGAGTCGAATGCCGGTGTCTCGAATATTATGCATAACTCTAAGTACCTGTCGGTCCCGACCATTCCCTGTTATAATTGTCATCATTTGAATACCGGTTACACGAATTCGTCTCATAAATACACACGATGACTCGAGAAGGAAATTTGGCCCCATGAGATTCAAACAACAGCAATCTTGTATACATAAGTCGAAGTCAGTCAATGAGAAGTTGATTGGTGTAGCAAACTGATCCAATTAACAAACTAGCGCGGCTCACACCTTTCCGCCATTGACGGGTGAGTTCAAAAGGCAGATTAGTGATTTTATGGAACGCTGGCATCACCTGTATAAAGGACACATCAGAAGTAGGCAGCCTGATATAACCTGTATATACAACACATCAGAAGTAGGCAGCCTGACATAACATGTATGTACAACACTTCAGAAGTAGGCTGCATGATATAACCTATATATACAACACATCAGAAGTAGGCTGCATTATATCACCCGTATATAAAATACATCAGAAGTAGGCAACCTGACATAACCTGTATATACAACACATCAGAAGTAGGCAGCCCAATATAACCTATATATACAACACATCAGAAGTAGGCAGCCTGATATAACCTGTATATACAACACATCAGAAGTAGGCAGCCCAATATAACCTATATATACAACACATCAGAAGTAGGCAGCCAGATATAACCTGTATATACAACACATCAGAAGTAGGCTGCATTATATCACCCGTATATAAAATACATCAGAAGTAGGCAGCCTGACATAACCTGTATATACAACACATCAGAAGTAGGCAGCCTGATATAACCTGTATATACAACACATCAGAAGTAGGCAGCCTGATATAACCTGTATATACAACACATCAGAAGTAGGCTGCCTGATATAACCTATATATACAACACATCAGAAGTAGGCAGCCTGACATAACCTGTATATACAACACATCAGAAGTAGGCAGCCTGATATAACATGTATATACAACACATCAGAAGTAGGCAGCCTGATATAACCTGTATATACAACACATCAGAAGTAGGCAGCCTGACATAACCTGTATATACAACACATCAGAAGTAGGCAGCCTGATATAACATGTATATACAACACATCAGAAGTAGGCAACCCAATATAACCTGTATATACAACACATCAGAAGTAGGCAACCTGACATAACCTGTATATAAAATACATCAGAAGTAGACAGCCTGATATCACCTATATATACAACACATCAGAAGTAGGCTGCATTATATAACCTATATATACAACACATCAGAAGTAGGCTGCATGATATAACCTGTATATACAACACATCAGAAGTAGGCAGCCCAATATAACCTATATATACAACACATCAGAAGTAGGCAGCCAGATATAACCTGTATATACAACACATCAGAAGTAGGCTGCATTATATCACCCGTATATAAAATACATCAGAAGTAGGCAACCTGACATAACCTGTACATACAACACATCAGAAGTAGGCAGCCTGATATAACCTGTATATACAACACGTCAGAAGTAGGCATCCTGATATAACATGTATATACAACACATCAGAAGTAGGGAGCCTGACATAACCTGTATATACAACACATCAGAAGTAGGCAACCTGACATAACCTGTATATAAAATACATCAGAAGTAGACAGCCTGATATCACCTATATATACAACGCTTCAGAAGTAGGCTGCATTATATAACATATATATACAACACATCAGAAGTAGGCTGCCTGATATAACCTGTATATACAACACATCAGAAGTAGGCAGCCTGATATAACCTGTATATACAACACATCAGAAGTAGGCAGCCCAATATAACCTATATATACAACACATCAGAAGTAGGCAGCCAGATATAACCTGTATATACAACACATCAGAAGTAGGCAGCCAGATATAACCTGTATATAAAATACGTCAGAAGTAGGCAGCCTGATATAACCTGTATATACAACACGTCAGAAGTAGGCTGCCTGATATAACCTGTACATACAACACATCAGAAGTAGGCAGCCTGATATAACCTATATATACAACACATTAGAAGTAGGCAATCTGATATAACCTGTATATACAACACATCAGAAGTAGACTGCCTAATATAACCTGTATATACAACACATCAGAAGTAGGCAGCCTGATATAACATGTATATACAACACATCAGAAGTAGGGAGCCTGATATACCTATATATACAACACATCAGAAGTAGGCAATCTGATATAACCTGTATATACAACACATCAGAAGTAGGCAGCCTGATATAACATGTATATACAACACATCAGAAGTAGGGAGCCTGATATAATCTATATATACAACACATCAGAAGTAGGCAGCCAGATATAACCTGTATATACAACACATCAGAAGTAGGCAGCCAGATATAACCTGTATATACAACACATCAGAAGTAGGCAGCCTGATATCACCTATATATACAACACTTCAGAAGTAGGCTGCCTGATATAACCTGTATATACAAGGAAAAGTTATATATGCAACACATCCCGATACCAGGAATGGAGGCAGCCTGATATTACCTTGAATTGCCTTTTGGTGAGCCTTGCAATTGTTGTTATTGTATATCATATACTGACAGTTCCAGATATTTATCTAACATATATGTCAATGTTTTTCTGTGATCCATTCTGATATAATCAGTTTATTTCCAGATATATTTCTGCTGAGTTATTAAGTTATTGAATGTGTCTGAATGTGCATATTTCAGTAATTTTCCTCTGAGTAACATTCCAGATATATAGTGTTAGCTCTCCTGGACCCATGGTTCAGATGGGCATATGTAGCAGTATGTTGTCCTTGCGTTTCATCCAAGTGTTGCATTGTCAGTTGAAAAGTTTTATTTTGTCAAAGGGCAAAGGGGTAGCCTATTGGTTAAAGCAGTCGCTCGTCATGCTGAACACCCAGGTTCAATTTCCCACGGGGGTACAATGAGTGAAGCCCATTTTTGGTGTCCCTGCTCGTGATATTGCTGGAATATTGATAAAAGCAGCATAAAACTAAATTCACTTACTCACTTTTTCAAAATCTCCTCTGACACCAACAGGCATATTATGCACAAACTTTTCCTGTTTCTTCCTGTCAAAGTGTCTCTAGGGACGGTGCGGTAGCCTGGTGGTTAAAGTGATCGCTTGTCATTCCGACAACCCAGGTTCAAGTCCCTGCATGGGTACAATGTGTGAAGCCCATTTATGGTATAAAACCAGCGGCGTAAAAACAAACTCACTTAAAGTGTCTCTAAACAGTGCTCACAGAAATTCCATCTAATTCAAACATGCCATCTTGGAATCTGATGTAAGTAGAATTATCGCGTGCAGTATGAGATCTTGTATGTTGTCAACACTGTTCAACGTTTTTCACCCTTTAATTAAGACCTTTATAATCTAATGTTGCAAATACCTCAGAAAAAAACTTCATGTGAGCTACAGAGCCTTGTTGCTTTTTTGTTCAAATGTACTATAGTATTATTTTCTGATAAACACTTCACATGGTATTCAAGGAAAAACTGTGTACACTATGATGTGTTTGTGAGAGATCAAGCTTATCCTCAGACTGATGAATGTTGCTATGTGTATTACAGGTTTAAATCAACGGAAACGACTTAACCGGATATATCGTGGCAACACCAATACACTGACAACTGATTACAGTGTCCAAACGTTGTAATTGTCATACATCATTTTCATTGGTTGCTTTCCTCTGACCTTGACACCCAGTTCTGGCTGCTCTGTGTTGTGTGTGTAACTAGTCGTAGGTAGCAACATGTTTAGCTAGTTAAATATGCTTCTAGGCGCTGTGATCTCAGTGTGCATATTATACATGGATATGAACAGACATATAGCATATTTCATTGAGATAAGAGCTGATATGTTACACATTGAGCTCACATCACGCCTTTTTTGCAAGGATATTAGCTGACATCTTGATTATGTTGCAAGGATATGAGCTGACGTTATGCTTATGTTGCAAGGATACGAGCTGACATTTTGCTTATGTTACAAGGATATGAGGTTATATGTTTATGTTGCAAGGATATGAGCTGATATGCTTATGTTGCAAGGATACGAGCTGACATTTTGCTTATGTTGCAAGGATACGAGCTGATATGCTTATGTTGGCAAAGATACTAGCTGACATCTTGCTTGTGTTGCAAGGATATGAGCTGATATGCTTATGTTGCAAGGATAGGAGCTGACATCTTGCTTATGTTGCACGGATACGAGCTGACATCTTGCTTATGTTTCAAAGATACGAGCTGATATGCTTATGTTGCAAGGATCCGAGCTGATATGCTTATGTTGCAAGGATCCAAGCTGATATGCTTATGTTGCAAGGAGCCAAGCTGATATGCTTATGTTGCAAAGATACGAGCTGACATCTTGCTTATGTTGCAAAGATACGAGCTGACATCTTGCTTATGTTGCAAAGATACGAGCTGACATCTTGCTTATGTTGCAAGGATCCGAGCTGATATGCTTATGTTGGAAGGATATGAGTTGAAATCTTTCTTATTCTGAAGGGATATGCATCCGCATCAGTGATTTAGGGAGATAGTGTCATAGAGATGGCGGGGTCCAGATCAGCTGGGATTAGTATGAGACGGCGTGATTGCGTGACTGCCCTTCTCATTGCCGGGGCACCTGTTAACCAAATCTCTTATAATTGTATGAATCTCACAGGAATACTTGATTACAATAGCCAAACATACAACCTTAGGTATGACTTTGAGAAAACCTAGACAACAATCTAGGATTCAAACCCATGATCATTTCCACCATACCCTAGGGAGCTAGTGAGTGAAGACAGCACCAGTATGTTTGAGGAACTCTACACAGTATAGTGTGGTATCCAAGACCACTGCACAACCACATGATCTTTGGATGAAAATCATACACAATCGTTTTCGTTCATAGGTATAGAATAGTTACATTCAGAATTCAGACAAGTTTAGGTGCCTCCCATGGTGTTTTTGTGTGGAACATTGTGTTTGGGGTCCAGATGTTGCCTCTGTTAGTACAAGTTGCTGTCCGTGGACCCGTCTGATATGCTCTTGATTCTAGCCCTGTGTGTCAGCGTGTACAGGCATAGACTCTTTAGGGTTAATGGATAGGATTTTTGGACATGTAAGCCACAATAAGAATATACAAATAGGTGAAATATATTTTTGGGTACATGAACCACAGTAACAAAAATCTTACCCAAATTTTAGTAACAATTTAGTATATGGACAATGATTGCTTAAATATCATTGCCACTGCAACCATCTTATGAAGAGATCAAGAGTGAAAACATACAACCTACTTACAAATACAAAAGACATATAGCTGGAATATTGCTGAGCGCGGCATTAAACAACAAACACAGAACATCAAGTATTTAAACTGTAGTAACACTTATAAGTTACTTTACATCTTCTGTCAAGTAAGACAATAAATATTGAGGTTCACAACTGTAGATATCGGATGAGCAAAAGTCTAACCAGAAAATCTAAAACAGGTAGCTGTTTGCCTGTATCTCATGCTGAACTGTACACATGCTTTCTTGGCATCAACGTCCTGGTACTTGTCCCATGTCATGGTCCCGTGCTATTGTGTGTTCCCTTGCTGTGCCAGCAATGTGTTCTTGGTTTACAAGTGGATGCATGTTAAACAAATACTAGCTACTGTACAAGTGGTGTTGTAATCTGTCCTGTAGTATAATGGCCTTTAATATGTTAATAGAACTTTGTAAACTAATAGACTCAGCTTCGTCTCTTCTAACTCAGGACTTTTAATCTAATTTATTTAAACCTGGGTGTCAACATCAAGTACAGTTTTCCTTGAACAAAACCATGACATGCAAACTGATGTAATAAATATGTCAATATAAATATACTTGTCATGATTTCAAGGTATCTTTCAACTGAATATTTTCATGTTGAGATATTAACGTTTTACTTGTGTTAGATTTCCTGGTTGCTGTTGAGTTGAGTATACCTGGGTGTGTCTGTGTTGTAGGCGGTAGTGATGGCAAGGCTCATGAGTTGTGGGGCTCTGGCGATGGAGACACAACCAGTCAGAAGCCCGGACCAGTCGACCAGACAGAGGCTGCGGAGCAGTATCAGGAGTGACGTGACACAGGTGTCATCTAGACGCAGAGACGAGTACTTTGACGCCTAGCTGCTATGGTTGTCGTATGCACAAGATCAAATGAACTCCTGTCTGTATTTCAGTCGACAAATGCAGTGGTGCTTGTATCAAATAAACAATAATGGTGGAGTGTAATAATGATTTGATGTATCACAAGACCCGTCATCCTTGTAGCTGAAGTTGTCGGACAGCGTGAACTTGATACATTGTGAATGAACGCCAGACAAACCTTTCAATGCATCATCATGCCTGTGATCGACATTGTCCCACCCAGGAACCTGGAGCTTAGCCATTTCTACAAGGTCAACGTTCTTGCAGTTTCAAATATTCTTTTACTGTAATTTAAATTTAATCAAACAAACATATGAATTTATTTGCTGCCATGTATGTGATATGAGATGTTTGCATTTTTGTAATGAAAACTGTATATATATTGACACAAGATATCATTTTATCTGAATGTACTATTAGCCCTCATAGGTATCAAACTGTACAAGCAAGGATTCTGTTTTGCTGGTGTCCTGTTTATGATTTTATTCAATGGCAGGCATGTACGGGAGGTTACTGCATAGTAGTCAAAAACATGGTTTAAGAGGTAAATCTAGAAATCAGTTGAAACCAATACTGTTTTAAACGTGCCTGTGTTGATTAAATATTTTGGGAAATTGATTTATTGTAAATATTTATTTGACCCCCAAAAAGGGTTGCCACCTTGTTTATTGTATACACAAGGAGGGAAATATTGTAATGGTAAGATATTTTATCACCTGTATAGCATGTGTATAGTGTTTATGTAAAACTGAGACCAGGAGGATTTACATGCAATCCAGACCGACATTGGGATTCTGTGTCTTTGAGGTTTTTACATGCAATCCAGACCGACATTGTGATACTGTGTCTGAATCAATGATGGTTTTGAGGATTTACATGCAATGCAGACCGACAATCCACTGTGTCTGAATCAATGATGGTTTTGAGGATTTACATGCAATGCAGACCGACATTGTGATTCTGTGTCTGAATCAATGATGGTTTTGAGGATTTACATGCAATCCAGACCGACATTGTGATACTGTGTCTGAATCAATGATGGTTTTGAGGATTTACAAGCAATGCAGACCGACATTGTGATACTGTGTCTGAATCAATGATGGTTTTGAGGATTTACATGCAATCCAGACCGACATTGTGATACTGTGTCTGAATCAATGATGGTTTTGAGGATTTACAAGCAATGCAGACCGACATTGTGATACTGTGTCTGAATCAATGATGGTTTTGAGGATTTACATGCAATCCAGACCGACATTGTGATACTGTGTCTGAATCAATGATGGTTTTGAGGATTTACATGCAATCCAGACCGACATTGTGATACTGTGTCTGAATCAATGATGGTTTTGAGGATTTACATGCAATCCAGACTGACATTGTGATACTGTGTCTGAATCAATGATGGTTTTGAGGATTTACATGCAATCCAGACCGACATTGTGATACTGTGTCTGAATCAATGATGGTTTTGAGGATTTACATGCAATGCAGACCGACATTGTGATACTGTGTCTGAATCAATGATGGATTTACATGCAATTTTGAGGAATCAATGATGGTTTTGAGGATTTACATGCAATCAGACCGACATTGTGATACTGTGTCTGAATCAATGATGGTTTTGAGGATTTACATGCAATGCAGACCGACATTGTGATACCGTGTCTGAATCAATGATGGTTTTGAGGATTTACATGCAATCCAGACCAATATTGGGACTCTGTGTTTGGATCAGTGATTCTCAGGCTTCAGTGAACAAAGCACAGGAATCATAATTTTACTTTCTGACTTTCAAAAGACTTGTCCCACCTGATGAAAATATACCTCCTGACTGCCCAGTTACATTTAGCCATTGCCTTAGAACCTATGTTAGTTTCATGATCTGCCTGATATGTGTAACTGATGTCAGTGATGGGTAAAACATAAATAGGTAGTAGTGTACATGAGGCATGTGTAATGTCAGTGATAAATTATGTTGTATATTTACCCCTTCTACTGCCATCAAGTGTTTTTGCTGCTTTGAGTAGGCACTGTTGAAGTCATAGTCAAGTTGTAGATATATTGTCCATCTTGTAACACTATGTTTATGTGGTCATGCTTTTTACATGCTGCCAGTGGACTAAATGAAGGAACTGATCCCCATTACCAAGCACCTGATAATGGTGGAATAGAAAACCGTGTCTGCTCGATAATGAAGCATACAACTTGATGGAGAGCAACTTCTTTTTTATTGCATAGAGCAACGTTTCAGTGTGGATTCGTACAACATTATCAAGCTAAAGGTTTCAGTGTAGATTCTTACACCATTATCAACTATCAAGGTAATCTTAGCTTGATAATTCAGTAAGAATCTGCCGTGAAACATTGTTGATGCAATAAAGAAGAAGTTATCCATTAAGTGATATAGTTCATTATTGACCCAACTTCTAGAATTCTGATCAAGCAACTTATGTCCTCCCACAAGCCATTGATGTGTGAGTTGTTGTTCATTGTCTGTTCCTTTTTCCAAGGGTTCTAAGATTAGAAGGATTACAGACACCAAACCGACACAAAATGAATGATGTGAAGCACAGTTCATTTTGTTCTAGGTGTAGCCAGCCAGTGGACAGTGCATCAGCTCATCAGTGCTGGCTACTGTTCTGTAAGCACTGGACAATGTATTCAACACAATACTGCAGTTGTAGTTAGCTAATGTCCATCATTCTGGTCTGTATGTAGTCTTCGTATGTCTGTAGGATGTGCGAGCTTGGTCCGGCCACATCTTCACATGGAGAAAGCATATCACTGCTGGATACAAGCCTTAATGTCATTCTGATACACATACACTAACTGGTCCTCTCACTGAAGGGAACATCATTGCCCGACTTATTTCTCTATCGGTGTAAGAAAATGAAATATGATACTCTTATCCTGCTTTTTGAAACTTTCATGCATGCAGTATATCAGCATTCAAGACTTACATGTTCGGATTGTATTGGAAGAACAGAAATATGGCATATCTTTTCTGCTGAGTTTTACTCATCTGCAAACAGCAATACTACTGTTGAAAGTCAAGATACAAGTATGGGCATTAAGGTTACCTTTCTACTAAGACTTTACAGAACAGTGTGCCATTGTACAAAACAACCTTAGCGCTAAGACTTCCTTAAGTCTATGTTAAGGTATGGGAGTTACGGTCACCTTAGCGCTAAGATTGCCTTAAGTCTATGTTAAGGTATGGGAGTTACGGTCACCTTAGCGCTAAGATTGCTTTGTCCAATGGCACCAAGTGCCCAAGACATTTCACACATTTTATTTATGTAAGTCATAAAATACACAGAATATAACATTGATGAACATTTGGCTAGATGAGTGGCTGGCGGAAGAAGAATGTCCAGCCCCCAGTTGTCTGGACACTATAAGCCTGCATTACAGCATCATGCCCTCTGTCTATCTGTGGCTGGTCATAGTCTGTGTGTGTATATTGATGTATGGTACTTCTTGATATTATATGTCGTGTCCGTACACCTTTGTCACATTTGTTGTAGATAACATTTTGAACATTTTCTCCTTCTGCAGGGGTGTGTTAGGTGTTATTATACTGAGGGAAACAACTAGGGGAACACCACTTCATTCTCAGATTTCCTCACGCAGCGCTATTGAAAGCTGGTGATGAAAACTGGAAAATATTTAAGGAACACTTGAATTTTCCTGTGTTCCTTTATTTGTTTCTCTCAGTATACTTAGTATTATGTTTTGAGAGGGTTCACTTTTAATAAAGTCGTGTAGAATGGGGAATATCAATGGCAAGAGCGTGTGCTAGTGCCATGGTAGGTACAGATATTGTCACTATGATGGCACACTGCTATGTCCTTTAGGCTTGCCAAAAACCTGTTTTGGTGTGTTAGAATCCTGTATCACCCTTATCATGTCTGTCATACCCGTGCTCAGTGGTATCACAGAAGTGGTGAACTACATATCCCTTCAGCTTGTCCTCTACACGATGATATTACTCAATACAGTTTCAAGGCACAGTTAAGGCAAACTCGCTATTCAGTGTAAAAATTGGGTTGAAAGAACATGTTTTCTGTGAAGTGTCTGCCATTGTATTTTGTATGAGACAGATGACAAAAAACCTGTTTGATAACACAAAGAAACCCTCTTGCAGGTGGGCACCACAGTCTTTAGAATATTACATGCATAATGAGCATCTTTCCAGTTTAAGTGTATCATTTTAGTTATGTACTAGAAGAATAGAAAATATCATGTTGTATTGACACCATTGTTTTCTTGGTGATTTATGTCCGCTTTCTTGATGTAATGTTTCTATGTGATAGTTCTTGAGTAAGGAGGAGGTCCACAGTGGTAATGAAATGTCGAGTATTTGGAATTTAGGATGTGTCTGTGAGATATCCCTTGGTAATAAATATGTTTTGCTCTAAATCAAAATGTCAACATTTTCTCAGGTTATACACTTTGTCTATCCTTTTAAACTTAGGTAAAGATCTTACAGAGTACAAAAACATATCTCCTATGTATTCTAAGTAGCGCTGCATAAGACCTGTCCCTTGTGTCATCTAATGTGCATACCCCCTTGTAATACAAACCAATAATAGCGATTTGAAACCATGATCGTTTGTTAAACAACTTTTATTCTAAGTTGAATAAAATTCTGAGATTTTAATGTTCAACTGGCAAGGTAAAATTATGAGGGTTCGCAATCTTAATTTCGCTTTAATCGATTTACTTTTTTATTTAGAGTGAAATTCATCGGTACATTTTGACTGCAAACAGACTATAAGAGGAATGGTAACTTATGATGTATGGTCCAACTTATCCCTTATGATCAATCATAATTCCGAGTCCTCTGAGGCATGTTATTGTTAGGCCCTATGTAAGGAGTTGTACTTCCTGGCGGTATTTTTAGACTCTGTATTATAATAAAGCTTTCCATGTTCAAACAGTTTCTGTAGAAGCAGAGTTTGAGTGACTGTGTGTTGAGAACAGGGCAAGTATAGGCACTCAACATATGGCAGTAGCTATAGAACAGGTGATGATTTAGTATACTATCTAGCTTTACATTGCTCTGATAACTTAGGATGAACACATCTACAGTTACTGGCAATGTTTGACTGATCAGATGCAAAACTGCTGTTAAAGTAATTTATTGCGAATAAGAACTATGGCCTTCTTGTCATGAACCTAGTGTTAAAAAGTAAAGATTTAACTGGCCACTAAATACTATGCAGCAATATTATGTACTGTAAGAAGATATGTTGGAAATACCAGTTGTAACTGCTGGTAAGATTGATTTTCTCATAAAACTGCAAGCTATATTTTGTCTTTCAGAAATGAACATATTTTTTATCAAAACAATATTTGCAGTGTTTCAGTTTTTTCAATCTTCCAAATTTTTATCAAGACTCATCTGTACAAGAAGAAAATATGTGAGTAAAAATAAAATGATGTAATAGGAGAGCCAATGTTTTGATTTATAGATGGTGTTTTAGTGACCAACTGTACTTGCAGTTTGTTTGCCCGAAACAGGAGTAGATAACTCACAAGCAATTTGTAACTTGTTCTGTTTTTATTTGTAAACTGAATATTATATGTCATTTTAGATTATATATTTTTCTGTTCTGAGATATTTTTATCGAAAAAGCTTTTTTTGCCATGTGAAGAGAAAATATCTGAAATAAATCTTTTTGAACATTTATTTTGTGTTTTGTGGTTTCAGTCATTTGAAAAACATTACTCAGTATTAGAAGAAAATAATCAGATATGGCATAATCATAGGATTATGGGTTTTAATTGTCATGGAGAGATGAAATATATGTACAGGGCTACCCCCTGCCGTGATATTTCTGGAATATTGCTAGAAGCTTGGTAAAAAGTGACTCTCTGTCCTACCTCACAATGTGTGAAGCCCATTTCTGGGGTCCCCTGCCATGATATTTCTGCCGCCATATTACTGGAATACTGCTGAGTGCAGCGTAAAACTAAACTCACTCACTCACTCGTGATATTTCTGGAATATTGGTAGAAGCAGGGTAGAAATGACCTCGCAATATGTGAAGCCCTTTGCTGGTGTCCCCTGCCACGATATTTCTGGAATATTGCGAGAAGTGCGGTAAAAAGCGACTCACTGTCTACCTGGAGGTGCCAGTTTAGGTGCTATAACTGAGTAACTTGGCACTATCACATCTACTTAATTTGGAGAACTGGTTGCCAGGTTGTCTAACAGGAGGGGCGGTGGGGTAGCCTAATGGTTAAAGCGTTGGCTCGTCACGCCGAAGACCCGGGTTCGATTCCCTACATGGGTACAATGTGTTAAGCCCATTTCTGGTGTCCCCCGCCGTGATGTTGCTGGAATATTGCTAAAAGCGGCGTAAAACCAAACTCAGTCAGTCAGTGTCTAACAGGATTAACTGTCTGTACAGTGTCATGGTCCTTGGTTGTGCCAGGCTGGCCTCTGGTAATGATTTGCTGCTATTTTAGCATGCAGGTAATTTCTGGTCAGCAACTTGGATGGCCTTGCACAATAGAACAGCGATTTGATTGTTTGGGGATCGATCGTGGACTTTAGGCTGGCTTAGTACACCATGTGCGTGTCGATCACTGTCATGTGTGTGTATGGTGAAACGTGATCCAAAGTCACACAGACTTAATTATTGAACATATTGTCCACCTGTCGCTGAGTTAGACCTGTTTAAAGATTTCAATATATATCAAGGTATTAGATGTCAGACGACACATGTCCAATCTGATCACAAATATTTGCATTGAAGCAAGAGTAGAGCTTCCTATATATACTCTTCAAAAAAAGAAACTTGACATGCTGTTTCTGAGTTTATTTAGTGAGTGCATGTAATTGATTCAAATATCACATCATTGCTCAATTACAGTTAAATCATCACTTTACAAATTTCCAAAACATGATTATCCAGAAAATATTTGGTAAAACCACAGAGGGCTATCAAAGCCACTTGATCAGAGTAAAATGTCAGTTTGTGGTGTGACCACCATGAGCATCGATGACAACTTGGCAACGGCGGCCCATAGAAGAAAGGAGATGCCGAATGCTGTCTTGAGGAATGTTTTGATACTCTTGTTGAAGTGCTGCGTGCAGTTCTTGTAGTGTCTGAGGTGGTGGATGACGCTGGCGCAAGCGTCGATCAAGAGTGTGAGTGAGTGAGTTTAGTTTTACGCCGCACTCAGCAATATTCCAGCTATATGGCGGCGGTCTGTAAATAATCGAGTCTGGACCAGACAATCCAGTGATCAACAGCATGAGCATCGATCTGCGTAATTGGGAACTGATGACAGACAGCGTCGATCAAGAGTATCCCATAGATGTTCAATGGTGGTCAAATCGTCTGATCGAGAAGGCCATGCTAACACCTGAACGTTATCTTGCTGGAGGAAGTCCTGGCAAACACGTGCAACGTGAGGTCGAGCATTGCCATGCTGGAAAGATCCACCGTTGACGTTGATGAAGGGAACAACGTGACGTTGCAAAATCTCCTTTCTATAGCGAACCTCATTCAGTGCACCTGCCACGTGCACAACAGCTGTCCGGCCTTTATGATGGGTACCCGCCCACACCATGACATTTTCACCACCAAATCTATCTACCTGTTGTACACAGTTATCGGCGTAACGTTCGTTCCGACGTCTGTATGTACACGTGAACGTCCATCAGCACGCCTGAGAAGAAAACGAGACTCATCTGAGAACAAAATTGTCCCCCATCTCACTCGTTGTCTGCATCCATTGTAGACGTTCAGCCGGGTGACGTTGTGTCAAGACGTTACGTCGAACTGGTCTTCTGGCAAAAGGTCCGACTTCCCGTAGCCGATTGCGCACTGTCTTGTCGGAGATTCGGCGCAGTCTATGGATTTGGGTAGTTGTGGATGTTGCGGTCGTGGTGCGTGAACGAAGACGTCTCAAACGCATGTAGCGGTCCTGGGCGGCAGTGGTAACTTTAGGTCGACCTGACCTGGGTCTGTCAGTAACACTCCCTGTATTGTTGTATCGGGTCCATAGGTTTGTAATGGTCTGTCTGCACACGCCGATCCTCGCCACCTCATGCAGCAATGCCCCTCCTTGTAAACGGCCGATGGCGTTGTGTCGTTGAGCTTCTGTCAGTCTTTCCATTCTTTTGTCGTCTAAAGTGGCTTAAAGCAATGCCGATGATGTGGCCGTTGATGTGGCTTATTAAAGCCTACAGTCATAGGCTTCAGCTCGGGGTGATACACAATTTCATGGTGCGCGTGCATTATATGTAGGGTGCATTTTAGCGATTAACTACAAACGTGAGTGAAACGTTACGTTTTTGTTCGAAGTTTCTTTTTTTAAACGTTTTGTCGTCGGCAACCATTCCTTCACATGTTGGGATTCAGCATGGATTGGTTTGTGTCCAACACTTTCCTAAAATTCAAATTGTTCCTATGTCAAGTTTCTATTTTTTTAATAGTATACTATGTTTATTATGTATATTCTCAATTCTAATGGCACAAGAGATAACACAGAAAGATCGATTTGACGACCATCCAATGAATTGTCAAAATGTAAAATGACATCCACCCTCGTGCACACTCTCCTACCCAGAGTTCCATGCGGCAAGCCAGCATAGTACCTCTGCCACAGGCCAGAAAAATGTGACGATTCGTCACATCTTGCAATGTCCATTCAATATAATGTACAGATTTCTTTTACTCTTATATTTTTGACGAGTCTACACATCTAACTAAACATCTTTAATAGAATGGTTTAGTTTCACTGAGAAAATATCCAAAAACATGTAACACTATTTCGATTTGCGTAGCGATCCTTTGTTTACATAGGTTGTACGGCTCCACGTGCTGTCATCGAAGCTGATGGAGAGCAAACGATGCAGCCAGTTTGATATCTAAATATGTACTGTCATAGACCTTACTGTCGCAGTTGTGGAAGAATATATATGTAACAATGTAAAACATTATGAAGAGAGCGCCGAAAAGCTTTCGTGAGTCCAGTCTCTTCTTATTATGAATATGCGCGTTTGATTACAAACAAGAGAAAAGTCCGGTCACGTGATATGCAAATTAGCCTGTGGCAGTGATGTTATGTTAAGTCATCGCTGTGCCGGAGTGTGCCTCGTGCGGGGACGAAATCCAAGGCCTACGGATGAATGTTTCGGGCGTTATTCTTTTGTTCGGGAACTGTTCTATCTCTGGCAATATTGTTTTCAAAGTTGATTTTTCTTCTGACATACGGTCATACCTTTATATTTCATAAATCTTACGTTTCTGTGTATATCCGACATCCACGGGTCGCGCTATGACAACGACAAACGCCTTCATAACGTTCTGCTTCAGTCTGATGCTAATTTTGCACCTGTACAGGCTCTACACAAGCACTGTAAGATTGCAGCTTGGAGAATATCATGAACCACATAATATACTATTCACACTTTGCTAAGGATCAAACCATTGATTCAACAGAAAACTATGATGTTGGGTCTAATTTGGTTTAAATATCTAAGCTTATTATAAGCATGAATCCTAGGTTTCAGTATGTCACAGCATCTTGTGGATCCCATACCTGCTATTCACAGGTGTTGTGTACTTGTCAATGACTCGTTCCATGATTGGCAAAATAGTGGGGCGGTTAAAGGCAAAAATTGTGCACTTTGGGTTAAAAGCACCAAACTTGGCACACTTATATACTGAACTATTCCGAACATTTCTGGATATGGATCCACGTCAGCAGTGACCCTGGTGGCAGAAAATCCAAGATGGCCGCCATTTCGACTAAAATGCAATACATGTTCCATATATCATAATTATCTTGTCAAATTTCGTATTTCATAGAGGATTAATTGGAACAGTGAGGTACATATTCCTAATTTATTACACAGCGCCACCTGGTGGTGATGAAAATCAAGATGGCCGCCAAAACATTCAGAAATTGCCTTGTTATACCGCTGTTATTTGTAAGTTATTACCTTTTGGTTTTGGATAAGTTGATGATATTTAGATATATTTAATATTGTGAAAAGACATTTCAAATAGCAACAAATGAATGTATATATTTGTGCACTCTTGTGTATGATCTGTTGGTATTATGCTTTATAATGTAAGAAGTATTCCGGTTAGTATTTTACAAATGCAAAGTTTCAGAGAACAATTTAATGCAGACACCTTTCAGTACTTATTTGCAAGTAAACGATTCTGTTGTATTATTAGTGAGTGAGTGAGTTTAGTTCTACGCCACAGGCAATATTCCAGCTATATGGCGGCGGTCTGTAAATAATCGAATCTGGACAAGACAATCCAGTGATCAACAGCATGAGCACCGATTTGCACAATTGGGAACCGATGACATGTGTCAAACATGTCAGCGAGCCTGACCAGCCGATCCCGTTAGTCACCTTTTACGACAAGCATGGGTTACTGAAGATCAATTCTAACCCGGATCTTCATGGGCGATTGTCTCAAGAACCCACACCTACTTCAACCAACTCAGACCTTCATGGGTCTGTTTCCAGTGACTGATCATGAATATTGAAACTGTAGAAAGATGTATTGTACTGATATTCCTAGCCATTACTCTGTGATTGCGTAAATTTCATCAGAAGAATATAATACATGACCGATGCTCACGCTGCTGATCACTGGATTGTCTGGTCCAGACTTGATTATTTACAAACCGCCGCCATATAGCTGGAATATT